TTCGGCCGGGCGCAGTGGCTCACACTTGTAATCCCAGCACTTTGGGAGGCTGAAGCGGGTGGATCACTTGAGGTCAGGAGTTCAAGACCAGCCTGGGCAATATAGTGAAACCCCATCTCTATTCCAAATACAGAATTAGCCAGGCACAGTGGCAAGTGCCTGTAATCCCAGCTACTTAGGAGGCTGAGGCAGCAGAATCACTGGAACCCGGGAGGTGGAAGTTGCAGTGAGCCAAAATCGTGCCATTGTACTCCAGCCTAGGCAACAGAGCAAGACTATCTCAAAAAAAAAAAAAGAAGAGAAAAAAAAGTTCATACCTGTAACCCCAGCACTTTGGGAGGCCAAGGTGGGTGAATCACCTGAGGTCAGGAGTTCGAGACCAGCCTGGACAACACAGTGAAACCCCATCTCTACTAAAACTACAAAATTAGCCAAGTCTGGTGGCACATGCCTGTAATCCCAGCTACTTGGGAGGCTGAGGCAGGAGAATCGCTTGAACTTGGGAGATGGAGGTTGCAGTGAGCCGAGATCACACCACTGTACTCCAGCCTGGGCAACAAGAGTGAAACTCCGTCTCAAAATGAAAAGCTTTATTTTTGTTGATTCCATTATTCCACTATTGTACAGAAACCCTGCACTGTGCTTGGACTCGGCTTGAATTTGTCTGACTTTCACAGGCCTCCTCTTCTTGACAGTAAACTTGAAAATATTTTTATGTGGGCACTCGGGTTGTGAAGGACTCCGTGGGCCTCAACCCCCAGTGTCCTAACTCTGAGCTACCAAGTTGACTAGAAATCCTGTAAGACCACCATGTGGGAGGAAGCCCTCCAAAGCACACAAACCATCCATCTCAGAAGGAACACGACTTGGAAAGCGGAAGGACATGGTGGTGTGCCCATTGATTGATTCATTCAGCGGTGCCTACCGGGTGCCCAACATGCCAAGCTCTGCTAATTGGCAGGTCTGCAGAGTGCTGGAAGAGCTCACCTCCTCAGGGAGGAAACAAAAAAAACAAGCAAATAATGGGAATGTTACAGCAAGTGCACATCCAGGCCTGGGTTGGTAAAGACCCTACTTCATGGTGGCTCACGCCTATAATCCTAGTACTTGGGGAGGCCGAGTGGGCAATCACCTGAGGTCGGGAGTTCGAGACCAACCTGACCAACATGGAAAAAACCTGTCTCTACTAAAAATACAAAAATTAGCCAGGCATGGTGGTGGGTGCCTGTAATCCCAGCTACTTGGGAGGCTGAGACATGAGAATAGCTTGAACCCGGGAGGCGGAGGTTGCAGTGAGCTGAGATCATGCCATTGCACCCTAGTCTGGGCAACAGCGCGATACTCCGTCTCAAAAAACAAAACAAAAACCAAAACAAAACAAAAGAACAGGATGTGACTTTAGAGAACTCTCTGAGGATAGATCTCAACAGCCAACTATTGTCCAAACAACTGCAAGGGCAGGAAGACTGAAGCTGGTTGAATACTTTTGCTTTACCTGGACCTGATGTTTTGGGTTGTTTTTTTTTCCCCCTCCATGCAGAAAAGAAAAAGATAAGTGCCTATCTTTGATTTGCTAATGCAGCTTCTTTATTTGTACTAAGGCTGCATAATGTGGGCTTTGTAAAGTCTGTGGGCCTGAAAGCAGGATACATTTCTAATGGAAACACTCCCATGCATGATTGTACAACAGCAAAGCGATAAATTACCGTGATTTTGTACTCCCTGAAGCTATTAGTTCAGCCCTCCTTCAGGAATGTCGCTTTCAGTTATAGAAATTCTATAAATATTCGTTCATCAGAAAGACAAATATTAAATGAAAATTATGCTGAAGGACATGAGAAAAAGTATGCAGAGTACACACATTGCAGACTTGAGACAGAAATTGTCCTGAGAACAATTTGCAATACAAAGCTTGCTTAATAATTTACTGGAACTCGTAAACTCAGCGATTATGCCGGGCACTGGATATTTGATTAAATAGAAGAAAACAGGCTTACAGTGTGAGGTGTCTGGAAACTGGGAGCACTTGTATTAATGTGAACGTGAAGGGTTTTTTTTTTTTTAATTAAAGCAGAATATTCTTATATTTTCAATTCCAATTTGACTTTTAACTGACTTTAAACCGGATTGCTTTCATTTTGTATTCTCATAGGAAGTAAATGATTTTAGTTAGAGTCCTAGCCATGCGACTTATCAAGTTGATTCTGGGCAAATTCACTGCTGTAAGCCTAGGTTTCTCATGGTGAATTCTCTTTGCAAAAGGGCAGCCTGACCCATGGTAGTAGGTGCAGTGTTTAGAACCCACAGAACTGACTACAGACAGCTTGATTTACTGTGACAGGATTATTCTAGGTCTGGGGACACGCAACGAGACCAAGAACTGGTCCTTGCGAAGTTCAGAATCTGTGTGGAAGACAGTATGTGTGATACCTGCTCTGCCCAAGCAGCTGTGAAAGACCTGGAAAGGGAACAATATGTTGGGTGAGGGGTCCAAGAGGCAGAGGTGACACTGATGGTGATCTCAGCATTCTCAAAAAAGGGTACAGGTGCTGAAGGCGGACTGTCCATGAGGTGGGTGGGCCCCAGCCATCTATGGGGACGTAAAATGCTGATAGATAGAACCTCCTTCATTTTAGGTGTCAATTTACTCTACCTTCTAATTTTTGCCAACTTTGTCCCACAGAGGTCTCAAATTATCTGCTTGTCCTTAAAACAGATAAGCAGTGACTTTGTTGGTTGTCCACATACAACCTACAGGCCATTTAACAAGGAAATTCTGGTCCTAACAGAGGTCCCCGCCTCAGTTTTAATTTATAATTCTAAGACTGAAGTCTTCTGAAATGGCTTAAAGTACTTGTGCAAACATTTGATAAGATAAAAACGAAGGTGCCAGTTGGGTGCAGGACCTCATGCCTGTAATGCCAACATTTTGGGAGGCTGAGGTGGGTGAATTTCTTGAGCCCATAAGTTCACGACCAACCTGGGTAACTGGACAAAACCCCGTTTATTCAAATTAATACAAAAAATTAGCTGGCTGTGGTGGCATGCACCTGTAGCCCCAGTTACTTGGGAATCTGAGGTGGGAGGATCACCTGAGCCTGGGAGGTCAACACTGCAGTGAGCTGTGATCATGCCACTGCTCTCCAGGCTGGGCCACAGAGTGACACTGTTTTTTTTTTTTTTTTAAAAAAAAAAAAAAGGCAGCAGCAGCCCACATTTAGAGTATACTTTATTCAAAGCATTTCAGTTAAAATTATATTGCGTTCAAATACATGAACATATAATTATATATAAAATACTATAGTTTTCAATAGTTTATAATGACATCTTTTTAGAATTAGCTGCTTATAATTTGAGTGTAAATTACAGAAAGCTGCTAAATTTTGTTTATATTTCTACTTATTTCAATTTAGCTATTGGATATTTAGAACACTCAAAAGCCCACCTACAATATACAGTTATACTTTAAATATTTATGTTCAATAGGGGAACCAATACAGTGCAAAAGATATCTGAATAGCTAGTCCTTTGTAACCCCCCCCGCTGCTGTTCAGAGTTCTAGATAAGGGGGTCTTACCTATTTCCTCTGTATTACACTCACATTTTACCAGAGTCAACGTACAAGGGCCAGTGTGGAGTCACTTCATGCACAGGAGATGGTACTTTCAGTTTCCCCAAAGATTGTGAAATCCAGATTACACCCCAAGGTTATGCCTCACCTTGGAGACCTATTTTAATGAATGTCAATTAGTGAATGTTGACTAACTTGTCGTTAGCATGACTGCAAAAAATAAGGCCTACTTCAGTGCAATCACTAAAGATGTACACAGGAGTGAGGCTCTTGGCCAGGTGTGTAATACCAGTACTTTGGGAGGCTGAAGCGAGGGCAGGGGGAGGATCACTTGAGGCCAGGAGTTCGAGACCAACCTGGCCAACATGGTGAAACTCCATCTTTACTATACAAAAATTAGCTGAGTATGGTGGCGCACGCCTGTAATCCCAGCTACTTGGGAGGCTGAGGCACGAGAATCACTTGAACTCGGGAGGCGGAGGTTGCAGTGAGCTGAGATTGCACCACTGCACTTTGGCTTGAACAACAGAGCAAGACTCTATCTCAAAAAAGAAAAAAAAAAAAAAAAGACACTTGGCAAACCTGTAACATGTACAGGTCCTGCACCTGGGCAGTGCTCAAGGCACTATGTCCACTGGGCCAAGACTCAACATTGGCCACGCCCCCCGCTTCCTTAAATCTAAGGCCATAAAAAGAGGTGAAGTAAAAGCCTGGCTAATACCATGATGACATTTACTTTCTGGCTTCCTGCCATCAACCCTCCCTCTCACACCATCTGCGGGCAGGTAGCAGATGCAGGAGAGAGAGTCCCACAAGACAGAAGGTCAACAGCACAAGTTGCAAGCAGCCTGCCTATGTCCCCAAGGCAAGGTCTCCCCTGATGTGAACAGTGTGACCCAAGTTGGCATTGAAACTGAACAGCAGGGACTCACCAAATTCAAATGAACAAGGAATACCCCCAAATCGGAAGAGTTCTCAAAACATTTTCAACATTTTGGTAATTAATTACCTCATCTCCAGTTAGGTCGATATTCCATATTAAGACATGTTTTATAATGGCAAACTCTCTTGACTACCTATCTTAGAATTTTTTTTTTTTTTTTTGAGACGGAGTCTCACGCTGTTGCCCAGGCTGGAGTGCAGTGGCGCGATCTCGGCTCACTGCAAGCTCCGCCTCCTGGGTTCACGCCATTCTCCTGCCTCAGCCTCCTGAGTAGCTAGGACTACAGGCGCCCGCCACCGCGCCTGGCTAATTTTTTGTATTTTTAGTAGAGACGGGGTTTCACTGTGGTCTCGATCTCCTGACCTTGTGATCCGCCCGCCTCGGCCTCCCAAAGTGCTGGGATTACAGGCTTGAGCCACCGCGCCCGGCCTTTAGAATTTTTTTTGAAGTCACTATTTACAGTGTAGATATTAACAGGCATGAGAGTCAATATAGGGATAACTTTTATTTCAAAAAATTAAATACAAACCAATATTTTGCCCCTTCATAGATGAAGCCACATCTTTTCAGGATATTGAGTATAAAGTAACAAGCCTAGGGCACAGCTTGTGCTGACAAAGTCCTGAAACTAAAATGAGAGGAAACACATCACTCTACTTTGGGATAAGTCATGACCAAGACTCAATTTCAGAGACGTTCTATGAACAGAGGTGCTTGGAAGCCACGGTGGCAGAAGGGAAAGAGGGGGAAGTATGCCGAAGAGCCTCCAGGCATGACAGACAGCCCCCTGAACAAGCACAAGTGACAGGCCCTTTGGGTCTCTGCTTCTCACTGGAAAATGATGAAGGCTAGATCTGATGACTCCTAGTGCCAACATTTAATGAAATTTGAAAGTTATGCAGGACTTCACACATGTAAGGAATTGTTATATTGCAGAATATTATGCAATAGAAAGTTCACGATCACTATACTTAGCTCTAAAATTTTTCAGAGAAACAGCAGACTAATAAGCGAGTCTTAAATAAAGGAATAACATTTTAATGAAATAAATGAAACAGAGCAGGGAAACCAAAGAGCCAATTAGGGGAAGAATCTTGAAAAAGTATGGCTTCCCACAGCAGCAGCACTGAGGAAAATGCTATCAATTTATGCCAGAGGAAAAAAACTCCAAAAATGTCCAATAACCAAGCGCACAGTTATGGTCAATAAGATTTTGAACATGTGTCACACATAAAGAAAATTTTCATTTATTTTTCCCTTCAAATACACTTCAAAATAACATGTAGACACAGAATCACAAATATATACAAAACAAAGTATCGCCTGCTTATTTCAGGAAGAATTTTCCCTCAATTCTTTTAGCTGCTGTACATAAAATTCAAAGCTTTCCTGTTAAGGAGAAAAAAAGAGGGAAGTTAGAGATAAAGCTACCAGCAAGAGGTGATGGTACAAAACTTAAAAAATCATAAACACTACCAACTGGTAGCTAAGACGGCCAGGCCCATGGAAGATACTGCCCCTCAAGCTTCAGCACACCTTCTTGTTTCATTAAATCACAAGTTCAAGGGCCTTGGGTTCAGAGTCAAAGCAGCAGGAGTTTAGGGTACGTGTGTATCTGCAAGCATGTGTGTACGTGCACATATGGAGGTATTTACACCTGGGTATGGAAGGCTGAGGTGTTCGAAATAAACATGGTGTACTGACTTTCAGTTCAATGATGCAACAAAAAGGAATTGTGCATATGTGATTTCTCTTATTAAAGAAAACAGGCCGGGTGCCGTGGCTCACGCCTGTAATCCCAGCACTTTGGGAGGCCGAGGTGGGTGGATCACAAGGTCAGCAGTTCAAGACCAGCATGGTCAACATGGTGAAACCCCATCTCTACTAAAAATATAAAAATTTGCCAGGCATGGTGGCGGGCCCCTGTAATCCCAGCTACTCGGGAGGCTGAGGCAGGAGAATCGCTTGAACCCGGGAGGTGGAGCTTGCAGTGAGCCGAGACCACGCCATTGCACTCCAGCCTGGGCGACAGAGCGAGACTCCGTTTCCAAAAAAAAAAAACTTTCCTACATGAAGAAATAAAAAACCAACTTATGTAAATGAACAAGTAATTACCAGTGACATAATATGCTTGGCTGTTGAACCTATTTCATCCTATTTCAAGTTGAAATGATAGAACTGCCCCAAGGACATTTGGTAAATCCATGCCTATAGCTGAAGGTCTGAGACCTTGTATTTTAAACTGTGGCCCCAGAGAGCTATGTTCTCCCACTGCTGCAGCCAAGGCACGCTGCTCAGTCCCTCAAGCCATCCCCTGAGGGCTCTTCACAGAGATCTAATCCTCATGTAATTAAGTCTTCAACTTATTTTCTTATACATTGTTATGAAGCGTACATAAATCTGTAGAGGTATTTTTTCCCTTTAATTAAGAAATACTCACAGGGGGTTCAGTGAAAGGGACAGACTCTCCAGCATTCTTCAGCAAAAGTGCGTAACGCTTGAGAAACAGATCATCCAATTTTGTATTCTTTGCAGTCAAATGTTCATACAGTGCTTTAGCAGATGTGACATCTTTCTCTGAGACTGACAAAGAAAAAACTATTAATCAGAAATAAAGACAACCTATCTTACTCTTTTCACCAAAACACTTAGCCACTCAGGGATGGCTGGATCCCTTCGTCCCATGGCAAATGAACACTTAACTACCTTCAGTAAGAAGCCATGCTCAGAATCTACCATCTCCCTCACTTCTTCTCTACATCCCTCATTCAGCATCACTCAGTTTGAAGGAGAAGAAAATGACAAATATGGCTACATTTAAAGGCCTTTAGAATAATACTAATGGTACCATTCACGTAGGTATTATTTTGAAGACCTATGATAGTTCAAGTGACCACAAACTGAAGTCCTCAGTTATAAAATACACACACATACCATTCAATCCCCTTTGGCTTAAAACCACTTTGAAATCAAGATAATCCAGGAACTGTTGTGGAGAGGGACATGTCAATTATGGAGAAATGTACATCAAGATCATCAGCTCAACACCAAAAAAGTTTTTCATTTTTCTATTGTGAAATAAATATGGAGAATATAGTTAGCTACAGTGATACACACAAAAAAAACCCATAGGCCGGGCGTGGTGGCTCACGCCTGTAATCCCAGCACTTTGGGAGGCCAAGGTGGGCAGATCACGAGGTCAGGAGATCAAGACCATCCTGGCTAACACGGTGAAACCCCGTCTCTACTAAAAATACAAAAAATTAGCTGGGCATGGTGGCGGGCACCTGTAGTCCCAGTTACTCGGGAGGCTGAGGCAGGAGAATGGCGTGAACCTGGGAGGCGGAGCTTGCAGTGAGCCGAGATCGTGCCACTGCACTCCAGCCTGGGTGACAGAGCAAGACTCCGTCTCAAAAAAAAAAAAAAAAAAACCTATAAGTAGACATTAACAAGTTATACTAGTTTCACTTAAGTGAATGATAAAATAACTTAGGAGCCAAATTTGGCTGGCTGTCTACTTGTGGCTGACTTGTGGAAATTTTTTAGTTTACCATTGAGATCGTAAGGTCTCTGCTAACAATTACTGCTGGTAATTCAACTCTTTAATTTTGCATTAGATTGTTAGCATCTAACCACCAAATAAACCCCTGCCCTACGCTGACTCTGATATTGTCAATCGCAACTCCAGCAGCATCAGGGGATCCCCCTAACGTGGATATAAGAAGTTGAGCAATCAGAGTCTCCCAGAGTGGAATGAGGGTGAATGACTCATCAGCTCTTAGAGGAGTTGGAACACATCTTTGCTGTTTCCATGAAGTCAACTTCTTGTGTAAATCCTTTATTCCCCTCCCTAAGGAGCTGAACCCTTTCCCTACTACTATCAAGGGCTCAAGCTCTATCTTCTAGGAAGCTGCTCTGAAAATTCCAGCATCTTGCCTTCTTACTTCCTGATTTTTCTACCTTCCTCCCAAGATGGATTACCTAATTTAGTAGTAACACATATAGTTTTAGGCATTTGACACGATTTTACATTACAGGCATACCTTGGCTTTAATGCACTTTACAGATGTTGCGTTATTTACAAATTGAAGGTTTGTGGTAACCCTGCCTTGAGCAAGTCTATCAATGCCATTTTTCCAACAGTATGTGCTTGCTTTGTGTCTCCGTGTCACACTCTGGTAATTCTTGGAATATTTCAAACTTATTATTGTTATGTCTGTTATGGTGATCTGTGACCAGTGATCTTTGATGTTGCTACTGTAATTGTTTGGGGGGTGCTATGAACCATGCACACGAAGATGGCAAACGTGAGAAATGTGTTCTGACTGCGATGTTGACTAGCAGTTCTGCCGTCTTCCTCTCCTCAGGCCTCCCTATTCTCTGAGACACAACAATATTGAAATTAGGCCAATTAAAAACTCTGTAATAGCCTCTAAGTGTTCAAGTGAAAGGAAGAGTCACACATCTCTCATTTTAAATCAAAAGTGAGAAACGATTAAGCTTAGCTTACTGAGGAAGGCATGTCAAAAGCCGAGATAGGCTGAAAGCGAGGCTTCTTACGTGGAACAGCCAGTTGTGAATGCAAAGGAAAAGTCCTTGAAGGAAATTAAAAGTGCTACTCCACTGAACACACAAATGATAAGAAACTGACACAGCCTTACTGCTGAAATGGAGAAAGTTTTATTGGTCTGGATATAAGATCAAACCAGCCTCAACATTCCCTTAAAAGCCAAAGCCTAATCCAGTGCAAGGCCCTAACACTCTTCAATTCTAAGAAGGCTGAGAGAGGTGAAGAAGTTATAAAAGGAAAGTCTGAAGCTAGCAGAGGCTGGTTCTTGAGGTTTAAGGAGAGAAGCCATCTCTATGACATAAAAGTCCAAGGTGAAGCAGCAAATGCTGATGCAGAAGCTACAGCAGGTTATCCAGAAAATCTAGCTAAGACCACTGATGAAGGCGGCTACACTGAACGACAGATACTCAATGTAGATAAAACAGTCTTATATTAGAAGATGTCATCTAAGACTTTCATAGCTAGAGAGGAAAAGCCAATGCTTGGCTTCAAAGGACAGGTTGACTCTATTTTCAATGGCTAATGCAGCTGGTGACTTTAAGTTGAAGCCAGTGCTCACTTACCATTCCCAAATCCTAGGACCCTTAAGAATTATGCTAAATTTATTCTGTCTGTGTTCTATAAATGGAACAACAAAGCCTGGAGGACAGCACTGCTGTTTATACATGGTTTACTGAGTATTTAAAGCCTGCTGCAGAGACCTACTGCTCAGGAAAAAAAAGATTCCTTTCAAAATATTACTGCTCAGTGATAATGCACCTGGTCACCCAAGAGCTCTGAAGGAGATATACAGGGAGATTAATGTTCTCAGGTGCCCTAATACAACATCCATTCTGCAGCCCATAGATCAAGGAGTAATCTAGACTTTCAAGTCTTATACATTTTGGGCTCACTTCGGCAACACATGCACTAAAATTGGAATGATACAGAGAAGATTAGCATGGCCCCCGCACAAAGATGGCATGCAAATGTGTAAAGCATTGCATGTTTTCAAAATAAAATTAAAACAAAAACAAACATGTTTCATGCGGCTATAGCTGACACAGACAGTGATTCTTCTGATGGGTCTGGGCAAAGTGAACTGAACACCCTCTGGGAAAGGTTCACCATTCTAGATGCCATTAAGAACATTTATTAACAGGAGTTTGGGAGAAGCTGACTCCAACCCTCGTGGATGAACCCCTTCGAGGGTCTCAAGATCTCTGTGGAGGAAATCACTGCAGATGTGGTGGAAATAGCAAGACCACTAGAAGGAGAAGTGGAGCCTGAAGATGTGACTGAACTGCTGCAATTTCATGATCAAACTTAACATGATGAGAAGCTGTTTCCTACAGATGAGCAAAGAAAGTGGTTTCTTGAGAAGGAAACTACTCTTGGTGAAGATGCCGTGAACACTGTTTAGATGACAACAAAGGATTTAGAATATGGCATACATTTAGTTAATAAAGCAATTGTATGGTTTGAGAAGATTGACTCCAATTTTGAAAAGATGTTCAACTGCAGATAAAATGCTAACAAACAACATCGCATAGTACAGAGAAATCTTTCATGAAAGGAAAAGTCAGTTGATGTGGCAAACTTTATTGTTGTCTTATTTTAAGACACCTCAACCTTCAGCCATCAGCATTGAGGCGAGACCTTCTACCAGCAAGATTACGACTCACTGAAGGCTCAGAGGATTGTTAACTATTTTTAGCAATAAAGTATTTTAAAATTAAGGTATGTATTTTTTAAAAACATAACGCTATTGCACACTTAATACACTACACTATCGTGTAAATGTAACTTTTATATGCACTGGGAAACCAAAAAATTCATGTAACTCACTTTGTTCATTATATATTTGCTTTAATGTGGTGGTCTGGAACCATATCTTCCAGGTATGCCTGTGGTTAGTTACTGGAAATTTGAGAAATTTTATGACTATATCTCTATTTTGAAATACAGAATGTTCTCCTCAGAAGTATAGAAAAAGAGAACTGACTTACTAATTCTGACTCCTGAGTCTGTTGTCCTCCCATAGATAAAATCAATGAAGCAATTATTTACCCCATGCCTCCAGTGAGCAAATCAGTGGGCAACAGATGGAGAGGCGATCATGATTGAGAAATGCTAACATTTATTTTGATGACTGAGGAAACTTTAGACTAGTTTCCTTTCATATGTGATTGTCTGGCAATCAGGGAACAAACTGGTTAAAAGACCAGAATTTGAACTGGGACGTAAAAACCTTGGGCTACTTTTTAATCAAGGGTCTATCATTTCAAAGGAGTAGCAGGCAAGCAGAGAGAGTACTGAAGGAGCAAGAAGGCCGGTTAAGTGAGTCTCAAATTTCTGCTTTTTCAGGTGGCAGGCCCTTGGAGAGACTGAACTAGTTTCTGATATATAAGTCCAAGAGGATTTCTAGGTCTTTCCAGGAGACTGGGATTCTACTCAATATACCTGGACTGCTCGGAAGATGTTCAGTAATACTTTTTAATGTTAAAGTTACATGCATAATTTCATATTTTTCTTAATATATGGTTTAAAAACATATTCTAGCACTGAGTTATTTATATCATAATTACCTGATATTTAGGATTACTGCCTTTGAGCTGAAGACTGACTTAGTTGACATACTACAAGTCATTTACATAACATAGTCACTTAAATAATAAAGCCATTTAAATAATCCAATAATATAGTCAAATTAAACTTATATTACCATAGCTTTTCATGAGGGAACTATATGCTTCTTCCTTTTCGTTTAATTCAGGAATCAATTCTAACAGAGATTTCAGAGTTGATGCCTAGGAAATTAAATAAAGGTAGTATTACCAAAACCTCAATTAACAGTGAAATAGAACACTGACAAATCAACCCTATATTAAAATTTTTCACAATAATTATAACAGAACTGCCTATTCAATTTAATGGACTATTGTCCCTTGTATATTAGCATTTGATATTGACTCAATAATCTACAGCTAAAACAAACCAGCATTTTTCACAGTTAATGCAATTCCACTTACATTTCTACAAATATTTTCCTAGAATATGAAAAACGTTGTTTCTTTTGTCAAGTGGTGACCATACCATACCAAGAAGTTATAAGATTCCCAAGGGTAGAGAGAGAACCCTATCTGTAGGTGCCACAACTGGTTGATGAAATTGTAAAGAATTCAGTTAAAACATTCTGAAGTTTTACCCACTTGACATACAAAAAAGAGCATTTCCAGGATCTCACTGAAATTTTTACTTACTTCTTCCAGGGAATAAGCAGACTCAGCTATGGTTTTATTTCCTGTAGCAAGTGAATACAGAACTGCTATGCCCTAATGAATATCTGCTGAGTATTTCCCACCCTACTCCAACATCGCCGGATAAATCCATGATGGACATATAAACATTTATGCCTTCTTCCCATCTCACCAAGAGGAGCAAAATCTGGCTTAACTATTTTACTGTCAAACAATGGAACACTGTTAACAGGCATCTTAAAAATCCTAACTCCTTTTTATAGCATGTTTATTCAGTCCACACCTGGACCTGCATCCTCCCAGGGCTTCTTCTATTTTAAACTCTCCTGGGTGGAATGTTCTAAGCAGATATGTTGCTGTGCATTTCCCGTCCCATCTCCTGGACAAGGGAACAGGGACTTGGCACAATCCCACATGTGGACTGACAAGTGCTTTTCAGATTCCTTGTACTTTTTAATCACAAATATAAAAACGTAGCCTCTGACAGGAAAGAAAGGGCAATTAAATACTTTCTAAAAGTTGTTTATAGTAAATAAATACATGAGTCACAGACGCAATGAAGCAAATTTTTAAAAAGTGTAGGTATATTTAGGGGAAGTGTGTAGAAATTAAGGAAAACGTAGATCTCCCAAAATGGACACAGCCTAAATGTTTCAAGTAAAACAAGCATCACAGTCGACATGTGGTTTGAAACTTCATAAAGAACCCAAATAAACTAAGAATGTAGTTTCTGGTGTACAAGAGGTAAAATGAGATCTAAGAGAAATTTAATTTTATACTTACTGTTAAACATCAATAGAATTTAATATACCTACTATGTACCCACAGAAACTTTTTTAAATAATAAATTTTTCAAAAGGACTTGGTTCTGTTACACACTCACCCACCCCTTCCTTATACAGTGTAAAAAAAAAAGTAACTGTACAAATTAGAATATTTGTGGCTCCATATCAATTTGAAAGCCAAGTGGCTCATTTACCTGATGGTTTATACCTGATAAATGCTCAAAAGTAGCCACGTGCTGGGAGACACTCTGGAGTATACATTTCCCTTGGCAGTGCTTCTGCATTGTTAACTGTCCCAAGGTGACCTAAGCAATGTAATTTTAATCTTCCTTTTTTTCTTTTTTTTTTTAAAGTAAAGACAAGGTTTCGCCATGCTGGCCAGGCTGGTCTCAAACTCCTGACCTCAAGTGATCCACCCACCTCGGCCTCCCAAAGTGCTGGGATTACAGGTGTGAGCCACCATGCCTGGCCTAATCTTGCATTTTTAAGGGCCTTTTCTTGGAGCTCTCAATGCATAACTATGTAAGTGGAAAATTCCTGCATGAACTTGTTTTACATTTCTAGTTACAGCTAAAAGATGACAAAACTGACTCTATCAACATCCTCTAAAAGTAAGTAAGTAAAGACAAGAAAAGTCTTGAATCTCTACAGTATTCTCAAATAAGGTCCTGAACCAATAGGCTTTTATGTTAAATTCAATACTTCTGAGCAAGGCACGTGCAGTATCGTTGATTTGTTAGCAAGTAAAGCAGAGTACCTTTCCTTGTTTCCCAGCATTCCTAAGGAAGAACACCAACAAAATCGAGGTTTGTTCAGCAATTGCACCACATCTCTAAAAATTAAAACATTATTCAGTAAGTGAAGGTTTCTGATAAACAAGCGGATCAAACTGAATATTTCCAATTAAGAAAGTTCACAATAATACAGTAGTGTATTATTACCAATAGGAAGGCCTAATAGTCGACTATTATTTTTTAAGGCAAGAAAAAAGAAAACAAGTGTAAGCTATGCCAAGCTTTGCTAAATGCTGTCCTTGGCATTGCAAGTATAAAGTTTGTTTAAAAAGAAAAGGGAAAAATTAAACTAATGCTTCAACAACCACAGAATAAGGTTTAGGACTGCAAAGAAAGAGGAAAAAAAGAAACACTATTCCTCTCCAATTATACTGCCAAGCATTCACAAGTGAGCTAGGGATCATAAGGTTAATTATACATTTAATAAGGTGTCAGGGAGATAACTGCTCGTTTCTTTATAAAAATTAAAATGTACAAAGCAAGTTCTCTTTAAAGTATAATTACCTACACTTATGCATACAAAAGGACTGATTTCAATCTCTCTATTTTATAAAAGGCTTTCATTGCAACAGACAGCCAGCGCTTGAGAAAGAGACCAAAGTTAAACTCAAAAAAAAGTTTATATGACAGACCAGATAAATCAAGTGTCTATCCAATCTTAGATGCTATAGTAAAATCAAATATGGCAAGACAATATTTTAGTTTACACTCATCACAGATGTCATTCTTTTAAGTTTCTAAAAGAACACTGCTCTTTCAAAGCTTTAAAACACTGTCAATACTAAAACTAATGGTATAAAAAGAACTTTTTAGGGACACACAGAACATTTACATTATGCACTGATGTTTTTGACATCTGTGAATAAAGTATTCTTCGCTACAGCAAGAATAATCTCTTACTGTTTGACAAGCAGGTAAAGGATGGGTGAAGGGTTTATCATCTGAAACCCCAGTCTAGTGATGAGATGGTAAATGAAAAGACTCTGCTGTGGCATCAACACTCAGCTACCACCAAGAGCCCTTCGGTGAGGTCACTGCACATAACGCAGTTCTTTCTGAGGGAGTAGGTACCATCCCTGCTGCCTCCCACCTAGGCAGCTGTCAATCGTGCTCTTCAAGAAAAACCTTGATTATGGCAGAGAACAAGCTGGTAGATGAAGTACCAAGTGCCACTTTCTAAAGAACTATCAAAAGGATGTGTTAAAACTGATTGCATACCATCATGTGTAAAATTAGATATGTATATGCTTATTACACCCCTAGTAGGTACTTAGATATGTACGTATGAAGATAAAGCATGAGTATCTTTTTTTTTTTAAACCACGGAAGATAGCAAAATAAAACAATTTTAAAAGTCCTGAAATCCCTATCATAAACTGCCTTTTCCTTAAAATTAAAAAAAAAAAAAAAAAAAATCAAAGGGAAAAAAAAGTAAACAAGCCAAACAAAGCAAGAAAATTCCCAGTGAACTGGAATTTCTCTTCTCCAGCAACAAAAGTAAGAGTCTGAGAAGCAGTGCTAATTCATCCTTTATAAAACTGTTAACAGAGACCCAGTTTTTCAAGAATTCCTTTTAAAAATGGCTTGGATTCCACTGTCAAACTAGATGAACTTTAAGGATCAAAACTGGAGGTCAAGCACATGGGTACAGTTTTACCTTCCCTATCTACTACTTAACATCTTCCGCAGCTGGTAAAAATGTAAGGGAATATAATACTATTTACGATCAGAAATTGGTCCCAGGCCTCAATCTGACACAGGGAGTCTACACAAACACAGCCGCTGGCGGGATCACGGTGACTGTTTGACTGCCACCTGCTGGGAAGGGGCTCCCCGGCGGTGCCTGTTTGTGTACATTGCCAGTGGCAGCTCCGATCACCCACCGTTCTGTCGGCACTTGGCGTAGCTTTATATTTAGTGCTGTTAAAATGGCATGAATGCAGTTGTCTCCTTCGCTGAAGATTGCTAATTTAACTGAGAGTGCGGGCCACAGAGACCTGCATTTGTCATTTAATGTGTCTGTGACACACAAGTGAATAGAAAACATATTCAACTCTTAATAAACCTTGAATAAGGCACCGAGAATGTTTGAGTATTCAAGTGAGAAGCTGTACTTGAAAAGCAAACATTTCCTACTTTTTGTTTGCAAACTGTGTTGCCATGGTGATGCACAGTATCTAGAGCATTTGAGAAATTAAAGCAGAAAATCAAAGAAATTGTTGTTTTGCATTACCTATCTGCACAGAAACATTTGCCTTTAATTATTTCAGCAAAACTCATTGCCCCTACCTACTCCCCACCCCACTCCCTTCCAACCTTAATTCTAAGGACATTTCTGGTTTGATCTGGGATCTTTAAAAACAACTAACCTAAAACCTACCATCCAGTCCTTGTCCTGCAACCTTGATTCACACTGAATTTAAACAGGCTAGCTGCGCACCACACTGAATTTCCAGTATTCCACCACACACCTATGTCTAGGAATTTCTCAGTTTACTTCTTGCAAGCCTCGAGCCCCACTGCTCCATGAGTGGAGGGTCATTACCTGTAGGAGAGCTCTGGCATCGTCCACCTTGCCTGCGTCCACAAGTTGAAGGAAAAAATCAGTGACAGGTTTATAAATTGCAAACTGATTGGCCAATCTCTCTGCCATGATGCTTACTGGAAAAATGACAGGTAAGAAAAATCATTAGAACAGTGGTATAACTTACCTACCAAAGAAATTTGGTCTAGTCTCACTAGAGAGAAAATGTGCTTTTGTGTTCTTTAGCATAAACAACTAACTTACTCTTTTCAACTGCTGGTTCCAACTGCTCCTCTATTACTTTTCTGAATAAGTATGCCAAGCCGAAGTATTGGAGTTCAATGACTGGATTCTCTGAAGTAAGCATATTTTCAATGTTTTCTATTGCGACATCTATGTTATTGCTGTTAGAAAAAAGCAAAATAAATTATTTTAAAATTTGCTTTTATATTAATATTGCAGACAGTTTAGTATAAGAACTTACTTTTATATCCACTCATGCTAATACTTTAGGAAAAAAATGAAATACATTTGATTACAAGTAATCAAATAAAAACACTGCAACTGAAACCCAATCACATTTAAGTAGCAAAAACAATCACTAGCTGGTTCATGCTACTGTGGTTGCTTATCTTATTTCACAGCAGTTGAAATAGTTGCTTGTTTTAACAGTGCTCTACAGACAAGATCAAACAACTATATACAGGAGAATTAATGAAGATAACTTAAAAAATTCTGTATCTTAAATATTTTTGCTACTCTTTGGATATAAAATGAAAACTTGTATAAATGCTATAATTTTGGCTTTATGATCCACAACTGGTCACTACTGCATAAAAATCATATTTAACATCCCAGGGTTCTTAAAGATACTGATGATGTTTCAAAAGGCATATATGCATGTCTCTAACTTACAGTTGCCTCAATTTCTTTTTGTCAGGTATGATACATTTGGAAAATACTCAATTTATACTAAAAACCTCAGGAAAAAGTATCTTCACACTTTGAAAAAAATCAGTTACATGGTCTTATTTAGCAAGTTACGGTAAAAATTATCTCTGACTATCTTTTTGGTTAAGGTAATCTATAATGGATACCTTACTGTTATGGCATACTAAATCCAATCAGTCAATATTGTGTTGAAATTATATTAAACATAAGAATTCTCTAAAAATGAATACTCTGTTACAATATATTTTTCTTATAAGTTTTAAAGAATTACTTAATAGTGAATATGTTCTCCAAATCATAAAAAACTGTGTTTATATGGTAAAACTTTAAAATTCACCCAGTTCTTAGATGAGTAATCTCCTCAATCTTCTGATTTAAAACAATCACATTTTCTTATTAAAGGAAAGTTATATTTGGGGAAATAGTTTGAAAAGGTCAAAACAAAACACAACTGTTTCTCTGCTCGAAGAAAGAACAAACAAAAAAAAACCCTACAAAAACAAACATTACATTTTAATATCATGTCCCATTAAATGTATGCAAGATTACTAAAGAACATTTTTTCTAAAAACATATTAAGAGTATCAAATTCCATAAAGTACTTTGCTAGGGGGCTTATTAAAAATCAAGTCCTTATTTACTTCTATAGGGGTAATTCTCAAAAGGAATTTAGAGACAGTGGTAAGAAAATCAAAAAAAAAAAAAAAAAAAAAAAAAAAAAAAAAAAAATACCAGGGGTAATTCTCAAGAAGGAAAGAGGACAGTGAGATCTGCCACTGATCACTGGGAGAGGAACGTCTCAAAAAAAAAAAAAAAAAAAAAAAAAAAAAAAAAAAAAAGCTCTAAATACCTCCCTTTTTGTGTGGGGGGGGGTGTGTTCACAGGGTGGGTAAGGAATATGAATACAGAAATGCACATTTTTAACAAGCTTGCAGGGCCCTCTGCTTCACAATATTCTACTAGTGTTCCTGTCAAATATTACTGACAAACAAATGAGGTCATTTTTCATTTCTGAACAAAGTGTTTCGACAAGAGGTCTGACATATATACACAGGAATGAGAAAGGTTATCAACTGTGGAGCAAGATTTATGAATTTGGTAAATGCTGTTTATTCTAAGATTTAAGGTAAAGAAAAAACATATTTTTCAACATATAATTACTCCCTAATCAGCAACTAACATCAACATTTCCTCTGCAGTTGATACGGTTTCCACATGTCTAAAAGTTTTTAAAAGGTGGTATCTCAGGTAATGCCCATTCTAGTGGCCAATGAAGGAAAAGAAGGCTTGCAAATACTCACTTCTTTATTTGTGCCAAAGCAGTGTTATTGATGAAAACCATTTTTGAAAGTCCAATGGAGTCTTCGAGTCCATTTACCATCTTCTGAACTACTTCTATGTTTTCAACATCACCCTTCATGGCCAATGCCTGGATGAGGCGGGTCACTGCTATCCCCGAAGGGGTCTGCTGCTGATCCAATGCTGTTTTCAGCGTTGTTAGAGCCTCTAAAATACAAGAGCAGGAGACACGGCTTTTCTTATATGACCTGTGCTGACTTTAATGCATTTTGAAAACCAGCTTTTAAATATGAGCACCAAATGGCCATATACAAAAAGCTATGAATAATTTAGATTACAGAAAATATTAATACTTCATGAGATACCCCCAAAATTATGTACTTGACTACATAAGATATTTGAGGCCTGAGAAATTTCTTTCAGGCACAGAGAAAATACAAATGTTACCGACAATATGAGTTCCATTTAGGGATAACATTTAGTGACTAAAGTTGATAAGTTCAAATGAATATAAATAAGAGTTTCTAAAAATTAGAGTTTCCAAAAATGTGTGACTTCTATCCATGTTCATACTTGTCCAGATTTTATTAACTCAAAGATTAAATGATCATCGAAACTCAATATCCCAACAATTCTTTCTCAAAAACAGTATCTCCCTCTAGGATCAATGTTCCAAACTGAAACATTCAACTTTCACACCAACAAATTTATTTTATGATTAGATGCCCTGTGATTATTTTCTTGCACTAAATTAAAAAAAAAAAAAAAAAAGCCTATTGATACCCATGAATACAGATAGTCCCTGACTTACGATGGGTTTATGGGGTAGTTAATGCATTGTCAACTTAAGATGAGTTTATCCGGACTTAGCCCCATCGGTAAGTTGAGCAGCATCTGTATAATCAATGGAGTTTTGTTTATATGTTTTTTTGAAGTATTATACTTTCAAGTACTTGATTGTAAATAACTATGGAATAGCCTTCTAGCTAACTGACTCATAAAACTGTAGCAAAATCATGATATGAAATAAAGTGGTAGACTGAGGAACAGCATAACAATTACCCCTACCATTATCAAAGAAAACTTATAGCTTTACAGCAACTAAAGCAATGTAACTTAGACAAAACTAAGACTCTCCAAATAAGAACAGCTTAGCTTTACAGAGAAATAGGGAAAGGGTATTAATTAAAGTCTACTAAAAATACAGTGGAAAGACATGATGAATTTAGTGTTCATTAATGAATAAACAATTTATAATTATTTGAGATATACAATCTAAACCACTCATTCTAAAATGGGAAAAAAGAAAAAGTTTAAAAAGCATAGTCAATAAAAATTTAAAAATACACATGCACATATAGGAAACAAAAAATGTTTTTATACTATTTTAAAAATATAGTTTATAATAGGCTTGATAAAATTTTGTTACTGGGTGGTCATACACAGATAATTATAATAATAGTCTTATTAACCAAGAATATTGTCAGCTAGGGAGGATCTTCCCACAGTACGTTAAAACAGTAATAACAAAAATAAGATTAATGATGGTGACGACAGTAACTCAAACTTATTGAGCATTTACTACATACCAGGCACAGCAGTTTAAACAGCTATTCTCACAACTACCCTTCCGAGACAAGTACCAATTTTATAGATGAGACACCTGGGCACAGAGATTAGTTTGCCCAAGGTAAGGTCATATTTTTAAACAAGACTCGAAGATTCCAACGATCCCAGGGCTTCCATCTACGAGTGCGTGTGTGCACGAGAGAGCAGAAGGGTGGGGAGAACAGACCATTTCATGTCTGTCCAAAGATAGCACAGGACCTTGTGACCTAAATCCTATTCTCATATAAGGCTTGCCTTCTGTACAGTTAATGACTTCAGGGACACCAAAAATGATACCCATCCACATCCCTCACCCCAGGTCCTTTCCCACTGTCACCTAATTCCAACATTTACACAATTACTCACTAGTGATACTGATTACACTGTACAAGTGCCACGTATCAGCTATTAATATTCACCAACAGTAAAATTTAATCGGCTTTATTTTTTCTTCCTATTTTAGATGGGGTTGAGAAAAAGAAACCTAAAACAGAGAAAGGCAGAAGAACAGAAGGGGACTTTTAAAAATTAAGAGCTCTCATCAGCCATGGAGCAAAATAAGTGCAAACACCACTCCTGTCCTCACTGATGATCATTTTACTCCAACAACAGGTTTGTGGTGATATGCTCAGGAAGGGGGGTGGGGTGGGGGTGGAAGAGGTAGTGCCGCAACAGTGGGTTCAAGGCTCCTGCTCTCAGGCAACCTCCAGTTGAGCTGAACAGCTCAGAAGAGTAGATGATAAATGATACCATGTCCTTTCCTGTAGCTTACACAGGGCACCTAACATAAAAATAAAGGGTACCAATCAAGCTGAAGAAATTTGGGTCAGATTCAGCTGAAAAATGAACCTCTGAAATCAGAAAAGTGTTTTGTTCTTATCTCCATGTCTACAGAAACAAAAGCTATTTAAGACAATGAGCTTATTTATATGGCGAGCAAGTTTAACTTTTCATTGTTTTAAAATTGTTTATCATTTTATTACATAAAATACTAACAGGACATAAAGTCATTTTTGGGGGGGCCAGGGGAAGGATTTCGCTCTTGCTCAGGCTGAGTGCAGTGGCACCATCATGGGTCATGGCAGCCTCAACCTCCTGGGCTTAAACGATTCTCCCACCTCTGCCTCCTAAGTAGCTGGAACTACAGGCGCATGCCACCATGCCTGGCTATTTAAAAATTTTTTGTAGAGACCAGGTCTCGCTACATTGCCCAGGCTGGTCTTGAACTCCTGGACTCAAGCAATCCTCCTGCCACAGCCTCCCAAAATGCTGGGATTACAGGTGTGAGCCACTGCGCCTAGCCACAAAAGTCTGGGCACAAAAAGTGTTTTCTATTCACTTACATATTCAGTACTAATCAATTAGGAAGACAGCTAAAGACCAGTACATTTAGGTATTATAAGCAACATTAAAGTTGCACAATTAAACAACAACTTCCTCTCAAGGATGTGAAATTATGTGATAAACATGCAGGACGGGCACGGTGGCTCATGTCTGTAATCTCAGCACTTTGGGAGGCCAAGGCGGGAGAATCATTTGAGGTCAGGAGTTCAAGACCAGCCTGGCCAACATGGTGAAACCCCGTCTCTAGTGAAAATACAAAAATTAGTTGGGCATGGTGGCAGGCGCCTGTAATCCCAGCTACTCAGGAGGCTGAGGTGGGAGAATCGCTTGAACCCAGGAGGCGGAGGTTGCAGTGAGCCATGCCACCACTGTACTCTAGCCTGGGCAACGGAATGAGACCCTATCTCAAAAAAACCCAAAAAACCAAAAAACCAAAAACCAAAACAAAACCCTAAAACAAAACAAAACCAAAACATGCAATGAGGAATAACACCATTATTACAGAGAGAGGAAGCAATGAGGTTACACTTCCAGAGCTTTTTCAACCTTCCTTAGAGATCTCCTAAGTGGGTTTTGTTGTATTGGCAAAACTGCAGTATCACTGTATTCACTCAAATTCAAATGTAAATCTTGAAGTGGAAAGTTACTTACCTAAATTTAAGAGATTCATCATAGTCCCCCTTGGGAGATCATTCGTAAGACCTCCATATCCAATTTCATCCGCTTGAAAACTCTTAAACAGCCTCTACCAAACCAATGGCCCCCACCCCAATCCTCCCCAAAGTCATGTCCACATCTTTCAGGTGTCATTCTCTTAACATTAATTTGAAAACCTAAACTTCAAACAAACACTGTATTTTATTGCTGTTTGTGTTATGAACTATTTAAAAAGTATTAGATTAAGTTTTAAAAATCAATATTATAATCATTTGGTGCACAATCCCACACATTTAACACTCAATTTAACTCATTTGCTATCTCACACACAACCAACACAATATGCAAGAAACAACTGCTGGGAATTGTTTCAGATGCTCTAAAGTATGTTAATTTCCAAAGCAAAATGACTTGTGCTGTGAATTTTAACGCACTTGAAAGCCTGTACTTTCTCTCGTTCTGGAACACAAATTTTGCATGTCTGAAGAGCTGTGATTCATCTTAAGAAAACCCATCTTGTGTTAAATGGAATGGAAACTGGACTAAGTGGTCAAATGACAAGTACATTCATATTCAAGCTGTATTATAAATGCATGTACAGTAATTTACGTCTCTCAGCTACCACAAAAGGCTCTTGATAAGCAGGTAATTTGCTAAATGGACTCCTTTATCCAAGTATTCGAAGGGCGTTACAAGAAAAATCTGCAGAGGCATTAATGTGACGTAAAGGTCAAGCATTGTGACATACCTTTCAAATAATCCCGCCTAACTTGCGTTATGATGAGGAGGCTGTTGGCAGCATCGTTCAGTGTGAAGCCCTTGATGTGGGTCTCCGCGCTAAAAGAAGCAGACATTTAGAAAGGAATTACTGACATGCTTCTGATATGATAATAAATGGTTGAGCACCAAGGTGAAATTATAAAAACTACTGTTCGTATGTTAAAAATATTGCTGCAAAATATCGACCTGGAGACAGCTTTTGTGTTATCCTGTCAATGGTTATAGAAGGATAATTTTTTTTTGCATTCTGACAGATGACAAAGTTGGAAATGAGCAACAAAAGAAACAAAGTACAAGATTTTTTTTAAACAATCGGTTCAGATTCTTGAATGCTGACATATTAGATGACTAAAATAACTGCGTGCCCCGCATTGTTCTGCCGTATCCTAAGCTGGATACTTTTTTTTTTTTCTACATTCACAGTAATTATAAAATGTAAAACTCTTCTTCCAGAAACAAAAATGAAGATTTATTTTCAGCACCGTACATTTTAAATATAAACTAAAGCAGATTACTAACACTGTATCATTTGGTCAATTAATTTTCAAATTTCTGCCATCTAGATTCATACAGTTTTTGAAGCCAAACATACTACAGGACTCAAACTATTGGTACTTTAAAATTAAAAATTTCACACAACCATCTTGCCCTAGCCTTAAGTTTGAAATGAAACACCAACTTTTAAAACTCAAGAGCAAAAAAATCACTTGACTTTTCAATAAAACCTACAGGATTAAAAAAAGCAAAATGAAACAACAAAAGCAAACAGGAAACCCCAAAACCTAGCTGAAGATTTCTGTTTGCTATACTGTTTGTGCATCTCCTGCGATGAAATTTCAGCATCCTTAATGCTCCCAGAGTTCATCTCTGAATTAGAAAATCTAACATGGACATATAAGCTGGGCAGATTGCAATGAAAGCGGGGTCACTGCTAAATTATTCTCATCAATCCCAAGAAAATCCTCCAGAGACACCATGACATGCCCATCCTCTCAGTCACTTTCAGCCTCTAAGGTCCACCCCCTACAGTCCCTGGACACGGGATTTTCTTATTCCTCTGACCAATCCTCTTAATCCCACCAAAGCACCCATTGCTCAGTTTGACTTTTCTCCTTTGTCCCATCTGTCAAAGCTCTTAAGTCAACAACTCATGCATGAGACTACGAATTGCACAAAGGATTTACTTTCTCAATCTTTAGCATGATTAAATAAAAATTAGACACTATTAAAAGCTCACTTCTAATATTATTACATGTATTATACCATATTAACTTAAAAATATTCACCTACAATCCATTAAAACCACAAGGTAACGAAACTTCTCTTTTAACTGACACTAAGTATGAACTACAAACCTTTCAAAAACCTCAAAGCCTATAACGTTCTTTTTCAATAATCTCTTCCTGTCTCAAGTTGCCTGCTCATTACAAATATGAAAGTGGAGATAAATATCAGGAAGAAGAAACCCTAGATCTATTCTATAATAATATATCCTACATATGTAGAAACTGATCAATTACAACCAAAACAGATTCCAAAGTGGCAAAAAGAGAAAAGTTTTAAAAAGTTGCGGGTAGAGATCTTTGCATTGGAATCATTTATACGATATAATAAAATACATTAACTTTTGACTCCTAATTTTGATCTTTCAAAATTAAAACTCGAAAAAATCGAGTCCAGAGCTGTCAAATCAAACCTTCTGTGATGATGGGAATATTCTTCACTTGTGTTGTCCAACACGGTTAGCCACTAGCCATATGGCTACTCTGATGAAGAAACAGAAATCTTAATTATATTTTAACTAATTTAAATTTAAGCAGTCACATAGGACTAGTGGTTACTGAACTGGATAGCAGAGAATTCCAGACATTTTATTTTTAGAACTGTCAAAATGAAGGGAAAAAAATTATAGGGGAAAAAGAGTACCCCTCTTTCAATTTACAATCAACTGCAAAAATTAAACTATCTTAACCAAAGAAGACAGTATTATAGGGAAACTTTCACATTGGACATTTCAGAGAATTTATTGCTCTGAAACGACAGCATTTCAAATTTAAGACTTTTGTTGCCTTATGGTTTTAATGGATTTTAGGTAACATTTTAAAGTAAATATGGTATAATACATGTAATATAGGCATGAGAAGTGAGCTTTCGTGTAAGCAATGACTGTGCTTACATAACATGCACAAAGGACATTAGTTGGTGATTATATTATTTAGGATAACAAAAACTGGCCAATTCAATAAAAATCATCAGTGACAGACATAGCATTATTTCCGAACAGAATGATACAGGAAGCCAAGAGGAACGAGAGAAAATCAAGTTCTACTCTCAAAAGATAAAGTAGGGTTGTTGTTACATGATTCCTAAAGTCCCTAAGAACATGGTTTAATGTTAGCAGAGATTTAAAACAAGAGTTTATATCCCCTACTGCTCTTTGAATAAGTGGTTTCCCTCCCTTGAAAGCATTTACTACAGATAAATTATTTTGAACCATGAGGAAACTAAAAAATGAAAGAAAGTTGGTTTATTGAACATTTTTAAAAGGCAGCAGTTACTATTACTTTTGAGGTTTCATGGCTTATTGGGAAGGTTAAATGACTTTGTAAATAAAGTTGAAATCTTATTAGAGGTCAAGTATATCTGTAACATATTAGATGACAACAAAGGCAAAATAAAAATGACACTATGGCTTTTTTTTTTTTCCTCTGTCACTCAGGCTGGAGTGCAGTGGTACAATCTTGGCTAACTGCAACCTCCGCCTCCTGGGTTCAAGTCGTTTTCCTGCCTCAGCCTCCTGAGTAACTGGGATTACAGGCATGCGCCACCACGCCTGACTAATTGTTCCTATTTTTAGTAGAGACAGGGTTTCACCAAGTTGGCCAGGCTGGTCTCGAAATCCTGACCTCAACTGATCCACCTGCCTTGATCTCCCAAAGTGCTGGGATTATAGCCGTTAGCCACTGAGCCACCATGCTCCACCAAAACCATGGCTCTTAAGGTTGACCAAGTGACATTACATAGAAAACTGTAACAACAGATAGCTATGGATCCAGAGTAAGACTGCCCGAATAATACTAGAGCGGTACTGCCATTTGCTACAGTAGCTCATTTGGCCACCATATTATAATAAAGTTGCCTATAACAAAGCAACAATTGTTTTTCACTCTGATCACTGACACAGAATGGGAATGGGAAGAGAGGACCTAGTTGGCAATAAACAGGAACTGAATCCACAAATATCTCTTGAAATACCTCAAGTAACATAGTTGGATAATTAGTAACTTGAACTTTCACTTCTGAATTTTCAGTCCAGCATTATTTTTTAAAGTACTCAACAATTTAAGCCATGAAACAATTCTACATAGTCAGATATAACATTTTATTGGTTCAAGGAAGAGGACATGCATCCAAAGCCCAGACTGACTTCAGGCTTTGGATCTTGGGTTCTCTTGGGTGCATAAAGATGCATGGGGGAAGGCAACTCCCAAATAACCCTGGTAGATAACACAGCTAAAAGTCTTACTTGTATATCAAACTAAGAAGCAGAGCATGATGGCGGATGCCAAGGACTAGGAGGAGGGGAAATGAGATAATGGTTAAAGTACAGTTTCAGTTATGGAAGATAAGTTCTAGAGCTCTATACAGCTTAGTGCCAACAGCTAACAATACTGTATTTATACTGAAAATTGCTAAGAGGAAAGATCACAAGTGTGTTCTCTCACACACAAAACCCAATAAATAATAATATTGAGGGTGGGAAGAAACTCTGGAAGGGGAAGGATATGTTTGTGACCTTGAAGTGGGAAATGGTTCCAAGGGTGTACACTTATCCCCTAACTCACTGAGATAGATACATTAAATATATATCTTTTTACATGTCAATCATACCTCAAGAAGGCTTCATGAAGATCTAGAGAAGGGAAGAAGATAAACCTTGGCAATCATTAAAAAATCAGGAAACAACAGGTGCTGGAGAGGATGTGGAGAAATAGGAACACTTTTACACTGTTGGTGGGACTGTAAACTAGTTCAACCATTGTGGAAAACAGTGTGGTGATTCCTCAAGGATCTAGAACTAGAAATATCATTTGACCCAGCCATCCCATTACTGGGGATATACCCAAAGGATTATAAGTCATGCTGCTATAGAGACACATGCACATGTATGTTTATTGCGGCACTATTCACAATAGCAAAGACTTGGAATCAACCCAAATGTCCATCAGTGACAGACTGGATTAAGAAAATGTGGCACATATACACCATGGAATACTATGCAGCCATAAAAAAGGATGAGTTCATGTCATTTGTAGGGACATGGATGCAGCTGAAAAACCATCATTCTCAGCAAACTATCGCAAGAACAGAAAACCAAATACCGCATGTTTTCACTCATAGGTGGGAATTGAACAATGAGATCACTTAAACACAGGAAGGGGAACATCACACACCGGGTCCTATTGTGGGGAGGGGGGAGGGATAGCATTAGGAGATATACCTAATGTAAATGACAAGTTAATGGGTACAGCACGCCAACATGGCTCATGTATACATATGTAACAAACCTGCACGTTGTGCACATGTACCCTAGAACTTAAAGGAAAAAAAAAAAAGATAAACCTATATTTCACAGGTTGTAAATTTAAGGCAAATAGAGGTCATGCTTACAACTATCTTCCAGGTCGGCGGTTTCAACCTTGGTAGATCAAGATCTATGGGAGGACTATAGTAAGAAATGATGTTTTACATGACAACCCAATCCACAGATACATACACACACACGCATAACTGAAAGCAACTTTTCATGAAATAGTATCTTTACTACAGAAGTACTCTGAAATAGTCTGTACTATTTCATTAATACAATGTTGGTTCTGTCCCACTTAATAGATGTCATGACCCACTAATTGGCTGCAACTGCCGTTTTGAAACTACTCTAGACCAGTGGTCTTCAATGAGCGGCATGTACACTGTATGAACACTCTAGGGTGAGGCAAGAAAACCTTTACATCTCTCTCTTTTTTTTTTTTTTTGAGACAGAGTCTCGCTCTGTCGCCTAGGCTGGAGTGCAGTGGCGCGATCTTGGGTTCACTGCAACCTCTGCCACCCAGGTTCAAACGATTATCCTGCCTCAGCTTCCCGAGTGGCTCGGATTACAGGCGCCCGCCACCACACCAGGCTAATTTTTTTTTTTTTTTGAGACGGAGTCTCGCTGTGTCTCCCAGGCTGGAGTGCAGTGGCGTGATCTCGGCTCACTGCAAGCTCCGCCTCCCGGGTTCACGCCATTCTCCCGCCTCAGCCAAGTAGCTGAGACTACAGGCGCCCGCCACCACGCCCGGCTAGTTTTTTGTATTTTTAGTAGAGACGGGGTTTCACCATGTTAGCCAGGATAGTCTCGATCTCCTGACCTCGTGATCCACCCGCCTCAGCCTCCCAAAGTGCTGGGATTACAGGCTTGAGCCACCGCGCCCGGCAACTAATTTTTATATTCTTAGTAGAGACAGGGTTTTACCATGTTGGCCCGGGCTGGTCTCGAACTCCTGACCTCAAGTGATCCTTCAGCCTTAGCCTCCCAAAGTGCTGGGATTACAGGCATGAGCCAACATGCCTGGGCTTAAATCTCTTTTTAAAAATTTCATCTTATGAAGATTTTCTATTTTGAGTATGTTTTATAATATAGTTACATGTGATATATCAAGTACAATTTGTTATTAATCATATGCGATTTTCTATTTTGAGTATGTTTTATAATATAGTTACATGTGATATATCAAGTACAATTTGTTATTAATCATATGCGATCAAAATGTTTAAGACATGATTCTTCAATCACCTGGGGTATGGAGTAAAATGTACATTCTCAGACCCCACACCAAATTGGCTGAATCATAATCTTTGTGGTGAGCTGTGAGGAAATCTTTTTATGCTACCAGAATAAGGATCACTGTTCTAGAACAAACCCAATGAAAATGAGAAAGAAAAAAAAAAAATTAAAACCTGTACTTTTAGGAAGTATTTCAGAGGTCTTCATAACCAAACCCAAAATCTAATTTTTTTTAAGTTTTCTGTCTTTGCTTCTATCTCATCACTTAATCAGACTTAATTCTCAACACAAAATGCTTCTCTTTTTTCTAGCTCTCCTTCATTATCATGGAGAGGGTTGGCATGGAGAGTTTCATAATTTTCTGAGGAAAGTAATTTTAGATGATCCACACCCTTGACCTATGACAGGATACTGCTCAATGTCAAATTTTCCAAGTCACTAATTAAGGGTATATCGAGTGTTCTAGAGATATAGATATAATTTGATTAGGAATTGAGAAAACACACAAATGACACACAGAGTACATTGAAAACCCGACAGTCCTAGTGCAACTGTCTTGTATCAAGACATACAAATGATGATTCAAGACCACACACACATACACACAGACAAGTACAGTCATATAGAACACGATTTTCAATACTAAAACACAGACAGTAACTACGGCCTATGATGCATAACTTTAGCAACACTAGGACACTGCCAGGTTTTCTTGTGATGTGAAAGGATGGCAGGCATCCATTTTCTCCTTAGGATTCTAATATTCTAAAAGTGTTGTGGACTTAAAAATTTTTTCAGATTATTCCTTTTCTTCTTCTTTTCTTTTTTGAGACAGGGTCTCCTTTTTGTCACCCAGGCTGGAGTGCAGTGGCGCAATCTCAGCTCACTGCAGCCTCCACCTCCTGGGTTCAAGTGATATTCCTGTCCCAGCCTCTTGAGTAGCTGGGATTACAGGCAAACGCCACCATGACCGGCTAATTTTTGTATTTTTAGTAGACACGGGGTTGCACCATGTTGGTCAGGCTGGTCTCAAACTCCTGACCTCAGGTGATCCACCCACCTCCGCCTCCCGAACTTGTGGGATTACGGGCATGAGCCACCTCGCCCAGTCAGATTATTTTTCTTTTTAATTAAAAAACACGAAAGGAGGGGGAAACACAAATAAAATGTGTTCAGTACCTATGTTTTTTCTACTTCACACTACCTTCTTCAACACCTAGAAGAAATCTTTAGTATTAAGTAATATTGTCATACACTCATCATACAGAAGAAAAACTAATGATCAGAGATGGCAGGTAATTTTCCCAAGGTCACAGAACTTTCAAGTAAGATTCAAATCTTAGTCTAAGTTCAAAGTCTATGGTGTCTTTGTTTTCTCAGGCTACTCCCCCCACAAAAGGTACATGGATTTAGCTGCTGAACAAGAAACAGAATATAATAAAATTACTTTTCTGTGCATGGATATCTTAAATGAATCGTGATGGAACATTAAGCAAAATGTACTACATTGTGTATGGCCAGTAACGGTTTTTTTTTTTTTTTTTTTTTAAGGTGAAAAAACCCTGATAAAATTAGTTAACCATTTCATATGATTTTTATGGGTAGCTGAGGCCAATCAAGCAATTGCACTACACAGCACATTATTATTATTATTGGCTAATGGTAGCCAATATTCTTTTTTAAACAAGAGGTTTAATAAATGGACTAATACTTACAATGCTTTCACTTCCACTGCTTGTGTAAAATACTCTTTTGACAGCAGTAATTTAATGAGATCACTGTAGGTTTCAGCATTAAATACAACGTTTTGCTGTTTTGCTTTCAGGAAAATACCATATGCCTCTATGAGAGAAAACAGACAAAAAATAAATGAGATGACATTATTCTGAAATGCCAAAAGGATGGAAAAAATCCTGAAACAAAGACCTAAACCCAAATATTTCTGCTTTTTAATACCAACCCACTGTTGCCACTCTATAGAGAGACACACTGACATAATTCTTCAAATATTTTAAAGACAAAGCTACGGTTTTGGAAATTACAACTTAATCCGAATGGATGGTGCCTGAAGGGGTTTCCTCTTAAAATGATTTCTCATACGAGCTTTCTTAAGTTGATAAATTATTTTCTTTCTAATAAAAATGAGAAATAGCTCTTCTGAATTTATGAAAAGATGATACTAGTTTCAAAATAAATCGCAAAATGTGTGTTAAAGTCCAAATAAACCAGAGGTATAATTTAGATTGAGGGGAGCAAAAGATTCATTTTAAAGCAATCTTTAATCTATAAGTGGGTGGTTACAATGGTTAACATTTCAACACAATAGCACTAAAGAGAATATAGCCTATAATTCTAAAATTAGGAGATCACATTATTTGGCTACGACAGGACTTATACAAAAACATACAATTTTCAAATATACAGATATCTAACAAGTAAACTAAGCAACATTTGTTTGACTGATTAACAGTTTTATTTCACTTGTTCACAATAACTGTCAGTGAATGAAAAGATGTTACCAAAAGAGAAGTAACTACACTTTTCAGTCACTTACTTTTCTGAAATAAAATTGCCTGGCTATAAACAGCCAACTGAAACTACAATCTACTCCCTTCTATGTATAAACAAATCACAATAAAGATGGGGCATAACTGAACTATCACGTATGGCCTACGTGATAGTTCTACGAATATAGGGCTCAATGTAAGGAAATATAAAACTTCTAATTAAGACGGAACATGATATTATTTAATGTTCAGAAGAACATTTTAAGCTACTTTAGAAGTTTCTGAACATGCAAAAATTGCTATGCTTCTATGTATGAGTTAGGGGATGTGTGCATTAGCCCCTTAATTAAACTTAAGTGGCACTGTCAAAAGAAATATTTATCCCTTTAAGCTAAATTTGGAGAAAAAAATATGACAACATTTTTATTTGCATCTTAACTAAGGAGAACAGTTTGGGCAAGTGAAAGTAACAATGGCACAAGTTTATCACATTTCAAGTAAGTCTTCCATAGAACAGTCCCTGTTAGTCATTAAATTTCCAAGTGCCTTACACTAGATTTCTATGGTTGTGAACAACTGTATATTCCAGGACACTGGCAAAAAACAGAAAATAAAAACACGCTAATATGCAAGAAGAAACTCCAGTATCATTTCCATCAGATACCTAGTCTATTTGGTGTATTTCACTTTTCTGAAATGGGAGAAAATGACATATCTTCATTCGAATACCAGTATCAATGCATCACAAATTTAAGAAAGTTTTATTTACTTATTAAAGTCACAGAACAAAACCACGACACACAATAAGATGACTGCAATAAAATCTGCCATTCAATACCCAATGCTTTTTAGGGGGCTAAAAACTTAAGATGCAATATAATTATTGTCAACTTCCTAACAATCATACATAATATTTCACACTTATTTGGAAACTCTTGTTGTTTTCTAAAATTGTGGTCTTCACACTAACTTGGTGTGGCTGAGTATATTAGTCCCTATTAGTTTTTTTTTTTTTATTAGCATTTTACTATACCAAACCCATTCACCATACATTTGTTTCTGATGTGACAATCATGAGACGCCTCTAAGTAGACTGAACTACCAGAAAAGTGTTAATGTAATCATTCAATTTTCAAAGCATTCACATTTCACGAAACATTCGAATCCTGAGATTATGGCTGGGCACAGTGGCTCACACCTGTAATCCCGGCACTTTGGGAGGCCAAGGTAGGAGGATCACTTGAGGTAAGGAGTTCGAGACCAGCCTGGACAACATGGTGAAACCCGGTATATACCAAAAATACAAAAATTCGCCGGGGGGCGCCTGCAATCCCAGCTACTTGGGAGGCTGAGGCTGAAGAATTGCTTGAACCCAGGAGACAGAGGTTGCAGTGAGCTGAGATTGCACTACTGCACTCTATCCTGGGTGACAGACCAATATTCTACCCCCCACCCCCCCAAAAAAAAGAATTAACAGGATGAAACCAATTAGATAAATGAAAATTCCAGAATAGAGGTAGCTCTACATTTATAATACGCACTGCATTGTATTTAACTACTTTGTATTTAACTACATTGTATTTAACTACTTAAATGTTTTCACTTAAACTGTACACTAACTATTCATTTTGGTCAAATCAAAGCTTCACCAGAGGACGGGCTTGGTGGTGGCTCACGCCTATAAACCCAGCACTCTGGGAGGCTACGCAGGCGGATCACTTGAGGTAAGGAGTTTGAGACTAGCCTGGCCAACATGGTGAATCCCCATCTCCACTAAAAATACAAAAGAAAAAAAAAAGCCGGACATAGTGGCGGGCGCCTATAATCCCAGCTACTTGAGAGGCTGAGGCAGGAGAATCACTTGAGCCTGGAAGGCAGAGGTTGCACCACTGCGCTCCAGCCTGGGCAACAGAGTGAGACCCTGTTTCACAAAAAAAAAAAAAAAACAAAAAAAAAAACACTTCACCAGAACATTTACATAGTATTGATCAAGCTTAATCTTATACTTCACTTTCAAAGATGCATAGCATGTACTGAAACATATATAGACTGAATAGACTGGTGCGCACCTGTAGTCCCAGCTACTTGGGAGGCTGAGACAGGAGAATCATTTGAACCCGGGAGGTGGAGGTTGCAGTGAGCCGAGAATGCACCACTGCTCTCCAGCCTGGGTGACAGAGCAAGACTCCGTCTCAAAAAGAAAAGAAAATGACTCAGAATGAATAAAAAGTTATACTATAGAGGTAACTGAGGAGGCATAAGAACTTAGCTTATTTTTACTTCATACATTTTACATCACTGCCACATATTTTTTTTTTTTTCTGATAGGGTCTCACTCAATCATCCAGGTGCGATCATGGCTCAATGCAGCTTCAACCTCCTGATCCTCTCACCTCAACCTCCTGAGTAGCCGGGACTATAGGCCTGTGCCACCAAGCCAGGCTAATCTGTGTATTTTCTGGAGAGATGGGATACCACCAAGTTGCATAGGCAGGTCTCAAACTCCTGGGCTCAAGTGATCTGCCCACGTTGGCCTCCCAAGCCTGTAAGCCTAGCCAAGCCTTCTAGTTAAGTTAGGAAATGAAGAAGTTCCATAAATGTCTACATTGGTTCCTTTCTAATAAACAAACCTCAAAACTATCAATACTAATATTTAAAAAAAGAATTCTGTTGTATTTATTTCCTTAATGGTAAACTATCATAAACCATCCTTGAAATCCACCCTAAAACTGAAGGAATCATTCTATGGAAAGCTAGAATGAAAAGAAATTAATAAAAGTAAAGAAAATAAGAGTAATATATGCTTCTGGAACAGTATAAGAAGTCTAAGTGAAAATATAAAATTCAACTTGCAAGCTCCTATCAGAGGGTTAAAGATGGTCAAACAAAATTTAAAGTAGGCATTAAGAGAGGTGAAGATATCTTCAGGAAAACTTAATACTAGAGAAAGGGAAGAAAATCAAGAAGCAGACCTCTAACCTCGAGATACTGCTGGATCACGTCAATACACACTAGTATAGTAATTAGTGCCTTAATCATTTTTTGCTTTCAAGTAAGTTATAATATTTGCCACAATGCTATTTTCAAAAAAATATTTTTAATAAAAGTGTATGCCAACAATGGCATTTATTATGAAAACTTTCAAATGTACAGAAAAGTATGAAGAATAGTACAGGCTGGGGGTGGTGGCTCATACCAGTAATCCCAGCACTTTGTGAGGCCAAGGTGAGAGGACCACTTGAGCTTAGGAGTTTAAGACCAGCCTGGGCAACATAGCAAGACCTCGTCACTACAAAAATTGGCTGAGTGTGGTGGTGTGTGCCTATGGTCCCAGCTACTTGGGAAGCTGAGGTAGGAGAACTGCTTGAGCCCAGGAGGTGGGAGCTGCAATGAACCATGATTGCAAACCACTGCACTCCAGCCTGGGTGACAGAGTGAGACCTGTCTCCAGAAAAAAAAAAAAAAAGAATAGTATAATGAATCTCACCTTCCATATATCCATCACTTATATCTAACAATTAACGTTTTATCATATTTGCTTTTTTTTTGTTTGTTTTTTTTCTTGAGACGGAGTCTCACTCTGTTGCTAGGCTGGAGTACAGTGGTGCGATCTTGGCTCACTGCAACCTCCGTCTCCCAGGTTCAGGTGATTCTCCTGCCTCAGCCTCCCAAGTAGCTGGGACTACAGGCATGCACCAACACGCCCGGCTAATTTTTGTATTTCTAGTAGAGAGGGGGTTTCACCATGTTGGCCAGGATGGTCTCGATCTCTTGACCTTGTGATCTGCCCACCTCAGCCTCCCAAAGTGCTGGGATTACAGGTGTGAGCCACCATGGCCAGCCTGCTTTGTTTTTTATAGCTTAAGCATTTTAAAATAAATTATAGAAATCTTGACTTTTTTCATCCTTCAATAACTCATGTGGATCTCAAAATTTCAGAACATTTTCCTATAAGTAAATCATAATACCATTATCACATCTAATAAAAATAAGTAATTCCGGCTGGGTACAGTGGCTCACGCCTGTAATTCCAGAACTTTAGGAGGCCCAGGCAGGCGGATCACGAGGTCAGGAGATCGAGACCATCCTGGCTAACACGGTGAAGCCCCGTCTCTACTAAAAATACAAAAAATTAGCCGGGTGTGGTGGTGGACACCTGTAGTCCCAGCTACTCAGGAGGCGTGAATCCAGGAGGTGGAGCTTGCAGTGAGTTGAGATCATGTCACTGCATTCCAGCCTGGGCGACAGAGTGAGACTTGTCTCAAAAAAAATAATGAGTAATTCCTTAATATTATCTACCACTCCATCAACAGTTACATTTTCCCACTTGCCCCAAAATGTTTTCGTTAAAGTATGGAAGGGGACAAGAAATATATAAAATTTAAGTCCTATCTCTAACCTACAGCACTTCCCACACTGCTATTAGAAGACCCCCCGCTCCCACACTGCCATTCCCATATGTGCTTGCCTTTGCTTTGCTTCAATTGGCAGGCATTCAATATATATTTCTGGAAACCAGGTTCTGTGGTTGAGTCTGATGAAGAATCCAATGAAGAATTCAGGGAATGTTTTTCATCTTCATACCACTTTAAAACAAAATTATTCTGTTAAATAAAAACTGGTGATCTTTTCAGCATAAAAGTAGGCTAATCTATAACCTAATTATACTAACAAAATCTTGTTATGATTATGCCAAAAACAATTACCTCAGGTACCTCAAATGGAACTTCCTGGTTACCATCTCTAAGGATTTCCGCTAATAATCTTAATGTCTTCTCACGAGGAATAATATTTTCTTCCTGGATTTTATTCCAGACAGCATCAGCTCTTTGCCAGTCACCATTCATTTCTGTAGAATTTGATTAAGCAGAAATTAATCAATAAGTATACTAAAGAGAATTCACAAAAATATTTAGAACTTTTCTTATTTGATGTTGAAGAAAGCATTATTCCAAATGCTGCCCTTTAGGGAAAGGAACCAAATGTGACTGTGACCCGAAGTCAAGAAGGGAACTTTTCTCTGTACTTCTGAATTACAAACCAAAAATACCCTACCTATCAAAAAGCAGTAACAAGAAGCCCCCATCACACTTTATTAAACACTTTCAATCATGTTGATAAAAAGTTTGTCTTTTTAATGTTACTGAGAAAGTGCCTACTGCTGAAATCAAAATCAGAAACAGGTAACAATTCAACTATGACCTTTAGCCTTTGCAAAGATCATGGAGATATATATATACACACACACTGCATATGGCACCATATATACATACATAACGTATGTATATATATGTGTACCATATGCAGTATACATATATACGCGCTCATATGCGGTGCATACGGTATACATACATCCATGATCTTTGCAAAGGCTACAGAACCGGGCTACACAGCAGAAGGCGTGCAGTGGGCGGGCGAGCAAACATTGCCCCGAGAGCTCCACCTCCTGTAAGATCAGCGGCAGCATTACATTCTCATAGGAGCACAAACCCTATTGTGAACTGCGCATGTGAGGGATCTAGGTTGTGCGTTCCTTATGAGAATCTAACTAATGCCTGATGATGTGAGGTGGAACAGTTTTATCCCCAAACCATCCCCGTCCCCCACCACAACCTGGTCTGTGGAAAAACTGTCTTCCATGAAACCAGTCCCTGGTACCAAAAAGGTTGGGGGCTGCTGCCGTATAGTACACAGCTGTAGTGTGTACTAAAATGACTGAAAGTGTGTAATTCTCTTTACAAGTGACAAACCTTTTCACTTAGTTGAAGAGAGAGAATAGTCTATGTTTCTTCTGTCCACACGAAGAGTTTCTATGACCATGTGAGATACGTGGAATCTCCTTAGATTTCTTATCTCAACTGATAATGCTATCAGACTATTACAAGGGGACAGGAAGTCGGCTGGGAAGGAAATAGGCAGATCCCTTCGTATTGAAAAGTCCATTTCCTTTCATGTGGTAATCTAGTCTTTACAAATAGCAAAAACTCTAGAATCAAAACTTTGTTTTTAGAAATTCTCATGGTTGGAAAAGGAAAGATCAAGTCATTTAATATAATAAATTAATTTCTGCTTGTGAAAAACTGGGGCAAGATATGAAAAATGTCACATGACACCAAGTGCAATACAATTATTAAATGCACAGAAAACTTGCTTTAGATGTCTTTTTTTTTTTTAATTTGCCAGTAGGTATAAGAAATATCTGGATTGTGTGGGGTCCAGCTCTAGGAAGGAAGGGTTTGTTTCAGAGCACAAATGTTCCAGGCAACATGAATACATTTGTTCCTCAGCATTTTAGAGGAAAAATACTAAAACACGTAGGATTTTCCTAGATTATTCTCCCGAAAACCAAAAAGTTAAGTTTTTTGATAACTAATGACTCCTAAAAGTAAAAAATTTAAAGAACAAAAAACAAAGCATACTCATTCTTCAAGGGAAATTAGCAATTTAAAAAAAAAAAAAAACCCTTAAATAATGAGTAGAGAAATTCCCCTGGGTCACACAGACTGAAGCCTAAACTTTTTTTTTTTTTTTTTTGAGATGGAGTCTTGTTCTGTTGCCCAGGCTGGAGTGCAGTGGCCTGATCTCAGCTCACTGCAACCTCCGCCTCCAGGGTTCAAGCGATTCTCCTGCCTCACCCTCCCAAGTAGCTGGGACTACAGGTGTGTGCCACCATGCCCCGCTAATTTTTGTATTTTTAGTAGAGACAGGGTTTCACCACGTTGGCCAGGATGGTCTTGAACTCCTGACCTCAAGCAATTCACCTGCCTTGGCCTCCCAAAGTGCTGGGATTATTGGTGTGAGCCACCGTGCCCAGCTGCAGCCTAAACTTTCACACAGACTACACTGCAAGGAGGCCCAGATGGCAGAAATTAACGTAAAGTGCAGAGTGATTTTATACATATACTGATAAAATTAACCCAAGTAATATAAAAGCCTTACATTTACAACCAATTTTCAAAACAAGACTCTCATTAGCTAATTATGCTTTTTCTTCATTAAAATGTTGTGTAATATAAAATTGAAGTATTTCAAGTATGTGAAAGTATAAAACTTATTTGATTTAAAAAAAAAAAATTCCAAGTCTCTGAATCTTTATTCCGTAGAAGGAAAAAAAGTGGAGCACTTCTGTTGACTGCCAAAAGGTCCTTGTGGACTGTGGGAAGATAGGGAAGGTTTCCAACAGCTAGACACAGTACTGCTAAGGACCTTTAAAAGGGGACTTAATTTTTCTGAACAATAAAAAGGTGGGTGGATAATCTACAGCTCTGTGCCTTTAGGCTGTAAGAATTCTGGGAACATTATTTTCTTTGTTTAAAAATAGCACAAAACTATATAAAAAGCTTCTACTTTGGGAGGACAAGGATATTACAGAGATGCACCTGTTAAAATAGACTAGTGGGCAGGCACAGTGGCTCATGTCTGTAATGCCAGCACTTTGGGAAGCTGAGGTGGGCAGATTAGTTGAGGCCAGGAGTTCAAGACTAGCCTGGCCAAGGTGAAACCCCGTATCTACAAAAAATACAAAAATTAGCCACGTGTGGTGGTGCATGCCTATAATCCCAACTACTGGGGTGGCTGAGGCAGGAGAATCACTTGAACTTGGGAGGTGGAGGTTGCAGTGAGCCAAGATTGTGCCACTGTACTCCAGCCTGGGCGACAGGGTGAGACCCTGTCTCAAAAAACAAACAACAACAACAACAAAAGGACTAGCAACTTAAGAAAATATTTCAAAATACAGATGAGAATTAGTATAATATAGCATGAAACAACTCAGTAAATGTTTTTCAGAGGGAAAAAATTTCCTGGAATTGTATCTGGATCACAAAATACAAAACAAAGATTTGAAGTAGTCAAGCAAATCAGTGTGTCAAAATCTGCAGCTGTGTGTAAACTCTCACAAATGTGCAGAAAGGCTATGCCTTTTTTTATAATATCCTTTGTGTGTTTAAAATCCTACTGAGACAATAATGTTATTCAAATAATCCAACAGCCACAAACTTGAGCTAAGACCAAGAAATGGACACTCTGCCTCTATAATCACATCACTTTCCTGGAACTCACAGTTCCCTCCTGAAAGAACAAGAGGACAGACTGTTCTAAATGACCTCTGAGAACCCTTACGTTATAAGACCAAAGATTTCTGACAATATTAGTGAATTTTACAAGAATAGACACAGTTGTGGGGCAACATTTTATGGCTATGGAACCAGGGTATACCAGGTGGCACTTTTCACACGTGTTCTCTATGGTATTAAACTAAGAGATCTCTACTTCAGGGTTTTAATCATAAGGCTGATGGTTTTTACACAATGATATGATGGTGCAATTTCCATATTCCCCATGTCAATTACCTGATTATGGGACCTAAGTATCATTCCCCTATAAAATAAGGATTACAGTCTAGGACAGGAATGATGTAACATAAGCCTGGATTGTCTTGTTATGCCTGAAAACAAGACACTAACAAAGACTAATGGGGTGTGTCAGGCAACATAGAATCCAACACAGGAGCCAATGTGAAGGGGTTCCCAATGGCCAAAGACGAGATAATGTGAACACTAAAACAAATAAGGACTAAAATAAAACACAAATACATTTGAAAAACCCATAAATTCATTAAAAAAAATTCATCAACTTCAGAGGTTTTAAGGATACCAGCAGTCAAGATTCGTTAAAAGGGAGAAAAAGCAAGTATTTTTCTTGTGAATTTATTTCATATTGTTAAGTAAAACAAAAGCCACAGAATACAGTGTAGAAATGTAGAACATGAAACATGTAGAGTATAAAACAATCAAAACAGGATATAAAAGAATCAAAATAATAGGTACATACATAAAAAATATATGGATATAAAGGTAGAGAGAGGGCAGTGTGTAGAGAAGACATAGAAAGGATGGCCAATTGACAAAGTTACATCTGAGATAAGAGGTTAGGGGGCGGCGGTGGACACAATGATGTTTTCAGAGTTACCTAGTATAGTATTATATTGTTTGAATCTTTAGCAATCAGAATATGTTCATTTCACTTGTGTAATAATGGAGGAGGAAAAGGCCACACAATACGAAAAGAAATGTAAATGGCTATACTTACTTGAAGAAATAATATATAAATCATTACTGAGATAGAATAAATGATGAGGTTATACAGACTTTTTAAATAGATTCAAAGAATTATATTGCAAACTTACAAATGTAAGGCAGCTTGACTCTTGGCTAGACTACTATACAAAGAAACTAATTTCTACTTTCTATCTGTAAAGAAGAAGTGTTCAGAACATAGGAAAATGTCATATAGAAATAATAGAAAATTCCTTAAGCAAGTGAGGAAGTCATTTCATTCATGTAATTAATGTTTGTTATAGTTTCTAGAAGCTAATTTTGCAAGACTTGTCACAATGAAAGCTCAAAATATATTGGAAAGGATAGAAATGAAGTTTGAATAATGACAAAATTTTGTCACAGATCATGTTATACTGAGTCCACAGAAAATGCAAGCACTTTTATGTTAATAAAAGCTTGTATTTAAATGTATGTAAGACTTATGCAACGCAGTTCCATGGGTGTTGGCTGAGCTACATATCTGTGTTTTGTGCCTGTTTCTGTAGTATAATTTACCACAAAATTAAGTGTGTACAGGTATGTGAAAAGTACTGTTTTAAAATAAACAAAGGAAAGTTGCTTTTCAACAAATATCTAAAAAAAACTACTAATTCAATCTCTTTCAAGGGCTAAAATTGCATCCTAAGAAAGAAATCCACAATGCAAAATATGGATTTTTAAAAAGTATGAGTCCACATTTACTACCAATTCATATCATATGTTCCATTTCAAAGCAACTGAGTCCATGTAACAATATTTAAATAGTGGCACAAGTCTGAAGGCAAAATGCAGAAGGGGATAGCTTGCTGCTTCTTCAGAAAGGAAAGGATTAGGGCTATTATAATCAGATTATCTATTTATAACATGGCAGAAGGTAGGTATACAAATGTGGTTAAAAAGTATGTATACTTCTCTATAGGATTCCACTGGCTTCCAGCCTCCTAAGAAGCTAACCACACTCTGCCAACCTTCTCAAACTACTGGCTCAAATGCAACGCAAGAACTGGAGACAGGTGTCCAACAGGACAGATAGAGGAAATTAAGGACAAGAAAATAGCATTAAACCTCAAAGACCATATATCCCTAATGGAAATTTTAAGATGAAGCTAAACGTTGTATATTTTTATTGTTTCTTTAAAAAAAAAAAAAAAAAAGAAGCCGGGCACAGTGGCTCACGCCTGTAATCCCAGCCCTTTGGAAGGCTGAGGCAGGAAGATTGCTTGAGCTCAGGAGTTCAAGACCATCCTGGGCAACGCAGTGGGACCCCGTCTCCACAAAAAGTAAAAGAAAAAAAAAAAATTTTAGCAGGGTGTGGTGGCACATGCCTGTAGTCCCAGCTACTTGAGAGGCTGAAGTGGGAGGATTTCTTGAGCCCACGAGGTTGAGGCTGCAGTGAGCTCTGATCACACCACTGTACTCTAGCTGGGGTGACCCTGTCTCAAAAACAAAAAACAAAACAAAACTAATAGTGAAAGTTCTTCTGAACAGGAAGAAGTTTGTGTGGCCCTAGACTACCACATACTTACACTTGTTCTTACCCGCTGCGGTGTTAAGACTTGGTGATGGGGCTGACCCTTTCAGCAGAGCACTACCTTTACATTTGCAGTGCCTACCACAATGTCTAGCACACAGTAAGGGCTTCATAGATTTTTCTTTTTTTTTTCTGAATCAAAGTTTATATAGTCTTCTATGAGGACTACTTGAAATAATAAGACACATTCAGACATACAGTCAGTGTTTCTTTTGAGCTTGGCACATTAGAATTTCATCATGAAACTGTTCTTTAAAAGGAAGAAAAAGTAGGTGCTCAAATACAGATTATAATTTGCAATTTGAGGACCAACTGCCTAAAATACAGGTTTTTAATTCTATACATTCAATACCAACCTCAGCATTGTGTGCAAAAACTTGATCATCGCTCAAGCCAAAGTCTTAAGAATTACACTGTGAAATGTGTATTTCAATACAACCAAAAATTGGAATATAAATTTTTTAGCAAATTTAATTTCATTTACATCATCAAGATGTAAAAGAAAGCTTTCAATGGTAATAAACACAAGTCTGAAAAGACAAATAAATCCCCTTATTTGTTTGGTGAAGGGAAATTTGCCAAGACAAAAGAAGAACAATAAATCTAGATAAATATCCATGAATCATATAGGGAAAGGTCACTGGCTGTTCTAAGTGTTATTCCTCTCCACTAAAAAATCCTAAAAGAAACTGTAAAGCTCCAAATGCGTACACTGGTATAAAACTACTAGAGCATTGTTGGAAAAGAGAGATCAAAAGTTTCTGAAATGTCAAATACAAATACTAAGATTTTAGCCTCAGAAAAGAGTTAAGGATGTGAATGAACATTAAGGCACAAAAATGAATAATGTAGTGTTGTTTTAGAAATGGAAAATGGAAATCTATTCACAAACCCAGTAACAGGAGATGGGCTGAATAAATTTTAGTACATCTATGTAGTATTTTAGTTATTTGTAGGTGATTATAGAAAAATGTTTGTAATATATAACTGAGTCAAAAATATATGACATTTTAAAAACTGTTTAACAATGAGTTTGTATATAGATATGCAAGATATGCATCTTCTTGCAAAAAGAAAAAAATATCTACATACATCAACGTTTTGGTGGTTACCTATTTATAAAAGTGACCAATAAATTTACCTGAAGGTTTAAATAAAAAGAACAGAAAGATCATTCTTACCTCAAAAAGTCCTATTAAATTCTGTGGTTCTGATGAAGGTTTTCGTACTTTCTCATTATTGCAGTAAGAATGTCAGAAATTATGAAGATATACAGTGCCTAGTGCTACAATATAACATTCTGTGATAAAATTCAATCTAGCCTCTACTTGAGCCTCTGTTGAATGAAAACTGCCTTCTGACAATCCCTGGAGCTCCCTCAAAACCAAACACTCCTTTCCTGCCACTGCCTTCAACAGAATAAATGAAAACATGAAGAATAGTTAAATCACTTACTATACAGTTTTAGCAGATTGTAGTACATCTGGTCTCTATCACATTCAAATAGCTTCTGTGTCAGCTCCACTAATTTTTCCAGAGCTTCAACCTTAAAAGTAAGATTAAGAGACAGATCTACCTTGCTATATATTTTATAGTTAACAAACAGCAGTGGAATAATCTTTCAAATTAACTTTACCAAAGGGCAGTTTAACTTCATTTCAAAAGTTAATGGGCTGAGCACAACAATGTGAATGAACTTAATGCCACTGAACTGTATACTTATACAGGGTTAAATGATAAATCTTACATTATATTTATTTTACCACGATTTTAAAAAAATTTGGAGTCAAGAACACAACGTGAATAACTAATTCAAAGATATCTGGGTGGGAGAACTCAATGAGAATATCGTACACTAACAAAATACTTCTCCCTCCAAATTTTACACTCTTCTTGCCCTGGGGCTTTTATTTGGCATGATGCAAACAGGTACCTGCACCAGAGGAGGGCAAGCAGAAATTCCAGAGCTCTGGGAAGCAACTCCTCCTGCCACTAAGGACTAATGAAGGCTTAGTGCATTAGTGCCAAAGACACAAGGTCGGCCTGCTCCAACCAACTAGTTAAAGATAAAATCTTCAGGGCCCAGGTTAACAATTTAGGGTTTCTACTGCACCTCAGGAATAATAAATAAGCCATTGCTTATCTGGCAAACAACCAAGATAAACACTGCTTCTACAATGCCCCGTCTCTCGAAATCCCCAAACGTTCACGTGACACAGAGGACCCTTGCCTTTTACTCACAGTTTTAGGTGACTGAGACATCAGAATCAAATACAAACCTGATTATTTGCAATACATTTGTCACAAAACCACTGAAGCCTTGTAGATCGAGCTCTAATCCCTGGAGTCTGTAAAATAAAATAATCACATAGCACCCAAGGTAAGGCTTCGGCTGAATATTATTTTTTTCCTCAAAGACAGTTTCTTTTCTTATGAATTTGCTGCCAAACATATATACTAAACTTATACACTAAACTATATATACTAGTATACAATGTATATACTAAATTTATACTATAACTAATACAAAACTAAAATTAACCCCATAGTTATCATAGACCTTTAAGTAAGATTAGAACAGAGCATAAAACACAACCTATATTTAACCTGTGCCTAGAAGATGCCAATTATTTCCAAATGCTGCATTGCAGGTCAATGTTCATTCCATAAATCTTTAATTAATAAAATGGTTATACTTTCTTTAGTTCAAAAATAAGCGATAAACTAGAAAACGTCAAATAAAACATGGGTGTGTCAACATTCACATGCATGTGCTCTTTATTTTTTTATTTTTTGAGACAGAGTCCCACTCTATTGCCCAGGATGGAGTGCAGTGGCATGATCTCGGCTCACTGCAACCTCCGCCTCATGGGTTTAAGCAATTCTCCTGCCTCAGCCTCCCAAGTAGTTAGGATTACAGGTGTGTGCCACCACGCCTGGCTAATTTTTATATTTTTGGTAGAGACGGGGATGCACCATGTTCGCCAGGCTGGTCTCAAACTCCTGGCCTTAAGTGATCTGCCCATCTCAGCCTCCCAAAGTGCTGGGATTACAGGCATGGGTCACCACGCCTGACCACATGTGCTCTTTCTCATTTACACTCTCTCTCTTGAACACACACACACACTTACTTTAAATACTCCAATAGACTCAGGAGACAAAAATTATCAATGTTACACAAAATAACAATTGTCACAATAATAAACCATTGGCTTTCGTTTTTAAAAGAAAATGCTTTGCAAAATTCACAGTGATAAAAGTACTCTAATGACTTTTGCCTACCACCTAAAACTAAATGTTTAGACAGCAAAACAAGCTAAGTACTTTAAAATTGGTTTATAGTCTTAGTTTATTTAAACAATTGAGACATATGTTACATCCTCAATTCGAAATTACTATTGTTTGGTCAGTAAGTCTGGCCTCAAAGCACTTACTTTACAATTTTGGATACTGGAATAAAATACAAAGCATTTCAACATAATTCCAAGGATTTGTCACTCTATAGTATTTTCATCATCTGTAAGAGGGCTTCACCATTAAATACTACATTTCAATCACAGCATTATAAGAAAACTACATACTCATTAGCCCTGGCTGTTACAGTCTAGAGGAGGTACCTTTACTGCTTTCTCCACTCACTTCTGTTGATCAAACCAGGTATCCCTTGAATCTAATCTCTTATTTATAAGTCCTCATTATTTTTAATTAAAAAAAAAATAACATTGTACAATGTTAATTTACGTACTGAAGTGGAAACTAACATCTTGCAGCTTTGGTGGGATGACAGAAAAACTGGTAGACTAGAAGTTGGATAACTTGTTCTCATTTCTTGTATCCACTTTTTGGGATACAGGAAATCACTGATGAATAAATTAGTCATGGAAATATAGTCTCAAATACTATTAATGTCTATATTCAGGCACAATTTCTTCTCAAGGATTTTTCTTACGTTATTTATTTCGTTTCACATGCGTAATACTGAAAATGAAAGCAATGTCAATATATACTAAAAGCCCTTGAAAAATTAAGAAATAATCCTCTTCAGAACATGGCAATATGCAAGGACTACACTCACTTACAACTTTCAATATTATTGTTGATCCAAATGCCAACAATCTAAACAGCACAACTTTTATGACATACTCTTTCGGTTTGTGGCTGATTAATCTGCCTGTCTTTGGCAAGACAGCCGATTTATATGGCAGATCTTCCCATGTTTCATTTTGAAATTGAGAACTTCAAATATAAATCTCAATCATCAAAAGAACATCTAGGTCAGATTAACTAAATCTCCTAGGCTGCTGTAATAGTCAAGATTTCTGGCTTATCTCTTAACATCGGAACACTGCAAGTTGAAAGCAGAAATAGAAAATGTAATAAAAACATGGAGAAGAATAGAATTCTAATTGGGATGTTAAATATAACATCAAAAAAGTTAATGTTAATTAAACTCATCTTTAGTTCTTTCTGTGTTGCCATATACAATCTATCTAATGAATAGTGAGGATAAAATAATTATTTTTATAGAAACAATTGCATGTTTGTTTCCACCTGAGCTACTGTGCTTCAAACCACAACTTTCTACAGTTGCAATTCACTAAGTTTAATTGTACAGGGGGAAAAAGTAATCCAAAGCCAAAAATAATTGTCATTACTTTAATTTCATTGCAACACTCTGATATAAATTTACCATAAAAGCTTATCATAAACTTCTATGTATACTAGTAAAAACAGATATCCAATAATTATTACCTGTTAAGTAAAAAGAAATGAAAGTTTTTCTACTGCATTTCAAACTCTGTCTCAAGGAAGATTATCCTGAATTTAACTCAAATAGAAATTTTCACCTGTTCTGATTTTTCTTGCCACTACTGCTGGAGATGTCAAATGAAAGCAACAACAAAAACCGCCCGCTCTAGCCTCATGTCCCCTAGTTAACACAGTAGGAGGAAAAACCATGTCCACAAGGACTTTAAAGAAGGGACAAAGACAAGAACATGCTGGAGAAGGTGGCATGCACCTGTAGTCCCAGCTACTCGGGAGGCTGAAACTGGAGAACTGCTTGAGGCCAGAAGTTCAAGGCTGCAGTGTGTTATGACTGCACCTGTGAATAGCCAATGCACTCCAGTCTGGGTAACATAATGTGACCCCCGTCTCTTAAAAAAAAAGAAAACAACATCCCCACCCCAACCTAAGTACCGTTCAAGTACAACTGACCCGTGAACAATATAGGGGTTAGAGTTTGACCATCTGTGCAGTCAAAAAGCCACATATAACTTTTGACTTCCCAAAGACTGAACTACTAATAGTCTACAGGTGACTGAAGTCTTACCAATAACAAATAATTGATTAACGCATATTTTGTATGTTACATGTATTATATACTATATCCTTACAATAAAGTAAGCTACAGCAAGAAAATGTTAAGAAAATCGTAAGAGAAAATACATTTACAGTATTGTATTTTTTGATATTGTGAGTTTATGACATCTTTTTACAAGATGAATTTCTATCTGAAATGGCAGGCAACCAGAGCTGCAAACCTCAATCTACAGTACATATCAAGCAATTCAACCTTTTCTTGAAATGTCACAACTTTACTTCTTAGAAGCACTTCCAGCATCACTAGTGATACTGTGTATGGATGTCATGGTGTTATTCAAAATAATTACAGTAATACAATATGTACTACAGTGAATTTAATGTACTTATGACTAGTACTTTGTTACTTTTGTTTACATTTCTCTCAGCTGCGAATGGCAGCATGTATAGTCTATGTGTGTGTAAATTTTGATAAATGTTAACTTTTAATAATAGATTTGTATATGTTTTGTGGTAGCAAATGATAAGATAGACTAGAATCTGCCTATATTTTAAGCATTCATGACATACCTTTTTCTTAATTTTTTCAGTATTTCTAGGCTATGCAGTTCATCTGAGAGTTTTTTCAAATCTCCAAAAACTTCTCCAATATAGTTACTGAAAAAAAGCCTACACGTAAGTGGACCTACATAATCCAAACCTACGTTGTTCAAGGATCAACTATATTTATCCCCATAGATAGCACAGAACAAGGGAGCAGGAAAGGTCTCATGGTACTGATTAAATCTTTTAGCATTTGTCCTTTTCTCTAAAATTTTCCAAGATAGACTTGAAGACCATGTATAATAAGGGGGAAAATATGAACTAAAAATTATCCACCTGACCAGGTGTTATAGGAGACACTAAACTAACTCACGAAAGAAGGGGGTATACATTTACATGAGAACTGACATATCTTGAAATTTTGGGGGACAAGACAAAAAAACAAAAACAAACAAATGAAAAAAAACCCCTAGCTCTAAAATCCATTGTCTGTGTATAGGATTCACCCTGGCTTATTAAGGAAGGCAAATGGGAGAAAAAGTCCTGAATTAGTAACAAAGACTGGGAGATCACTGGAATCCAAACTTTTGGTCTTAAAAGTCATCAAAAGAGTTTTTCCCCCCCACTGAGAAGAGATCAAAATTTACTCTGGCTGCAGTGTGATGGAAAAGCAAAACAGCAGATAAGGAGAGAGGGAAAAGTCAAGAAAGAGGAATTCTGGAGAAAGGGTAAGTTGTTTTTGACAGTTCAGATATTGAGGGGTCATGAGATCATGGAGGTAGGAAGGTACAGGGGAACCAACAGAAAACAGAAACTCAGGGCCTGGTTTCAAATTCCATAACTACTATACGTTGAGTATCCCTTATCCAAAATGCTTGTGACCAGAAGCGTTTCAGATTTCAGATTTTTCTGACTTTTGGATTATCTGTATTATTTACTAGTTGCACATTCCAAATTCGAAAATCCAAAATCTTGTAAGCATTATTTTTAACGGCCACATCATTCCATTTCATAAACAAACTGAAGTTCATTTGTACCCTTTCTCCTTTAAGAAAAACTTTCACTGTTACAGGTAATAATCATAATTTATATCTTTACCTACTTTGGTTTTCAGATCATTTAGGCTCATTTAGGATCATTTCTCAAAAGTGGGTCAAATGTCATTACCATTTTGAAAGCCCCTGATACATAAAGACAGCAATGTTGTTATGACTTTATGGATGGGATCTCCTTTATGGTTCCTATAGCAGAGCCAGAACTAAAACTCAGGGTTCCTGAGTGCTAGTCCAATACTCCTATTGCTAGAAATTATGGTAAAATAAGGTATTTCTCTGTAAACAAACAAACAGAAAAATGACTTCATTCTTTTAGTCTATGATCTTTTCAGGTACTTCATTTACTTCCCAGGAAGAAAGTGTTGCAGACCATATCAAGTTTCACTTTTCGGGTTACTCATTCTTTTTTTTCAAGACCAGGCAGAGATTATATATACAAGAAAAAAGTTAAATAACGTATGAAATGTAACCATAGTAAAGGTTTTCTATCAAGAAATGTATTATTGAATTTAACCCTTACCCCTTTGAGCAGTTCTGCAATCACTTACTGAATGCCCGTCATGTGCCAGGCACTGCTAGGTTCTCAGAACCAGCACAAAGATGAGAAAAAAATTCTGCTTTAAACTTAGCATTTCTTACTCTAACCTCTTCCCTTGGGTTTGATTCCCAAGAGTTCTTGAGACAGCCTACAGAGGATGTATCTGCAGAAGAGATAAAAAGATTGACTTCTACACAGGAAAGAATGGCATAGAGAAAGAAGGGAATCAAACTAACATTTATTAAATGTCTGATAATGTACCAGACACTCCAGATGTCATTTTATTAGTATTATCTAATAAGAGTTCTAAGAGGCAGAAGGATAAAGGGAGGAACCTCTTTGCTGCCTCAGGGTCCTGGGCCAGGCAGTTCCTTCTGCTTGGAATGCTTTTGTCTCTACTCTAAGTGGAAATGCACAATTCATCTTTTAATTCTCACCCCAAACACTGCTACACTCAAAATTAGGGTAATAGTGGTGGATTTTTAAGACACTTTACTCAGTCATCTCAAATGCTATGTAAATGACGGATAGAGACCTGACTTAACAGAAAATAGGGTGAATTAACATAGGCACAAGATAAATGGAGCTCTTAGATCTGATACAGTATCTCCTATCATGAACCCTTAAAGTTGGCATTGGCAGATTTCTTCATCTGAAACCTCCAGAATGAAGCTCTTTAGCGAAGGTGATTGATAGCATTTGCATGGCTTCCGAGTTGGACCAGTTTCCCCTTCCCTCCTTCCTTTCCTTCTCAGTCTTTCTCCCTTCCCTTCATTCCAGTTGAAGAGATAGACCTTTAATAAGAGAATCTACAGAATGTAGTAATTGCTGTAAGATGAAGTGTTATAGAAAGGACTTTTTTCAGGTCTTTCTGAGGATGGCTTGTGCCTAGGAGGTCAAGGCTGCAGTAAGCTAAGCCACCGCTGTACTACACAGCCTGGGTAACAAAGCAAGACGCTGTCTCAAAAAAAAAAAAAAAAAAAAAAAAAAGACTGGAGACTGTCAAATATATTACACATAACACATGATACACGTATGCCAACTCATTTTAAAAACAGATAGACAAAGCCGGGCACGGTGGCTCAAGCCTGTAATCCCAGCACTTTGGGAGGCTGAGCCGGGCGGATCACAAGGTCAGGAGATCGAGACCATCCTGGCTAACACGGTGAAACCCCGTCTCTACTAAAAAAATACAAAAAACTAGCCGGGCGAGGTGGCGGGCGCCTGTGGTCCCAGCTACTCCGGAGGCTGAGGCAGGAGAATGGCGTAAACCCGGGAGGCGGAGCTTGCAGTGAGCTGAGATCCGGCCACTGCACTCCAGCCTGGGCGACAGAGCCAGACTCAGTCTCAAAAAAAAAAAAAAAAAAAAAAAAAAAAAACAGACAGACAAAAAAACAGGTCATATTTACTACACACTGAAGCTTGCCTATGACTGGTTTATCTAATTATTTCCACAATGCTCCAAATACAAAGCAAGTCTGGAAATTCAACCATAGTGAATCTACCCAATGATAAGACACTATTGCTTTTTTTGGGAATTATAAAAATGTTGCTCATGACTTGTAGTATTCTTTCTGTAAAGCTATTCTTTACCCTTTAAAAAATTTTGTACACACCTACTATAAAAATTCTGTCACCAGCAGACAGCCATTCCTAAATGTGGTTGTACTCTGGCAAAGCTCTAAGTAATTAAGAGGCAGTCTTCTCTTGCCTATTCATGTGACAAACATGTACCTTATGCTGAACATCGTATTTTGAATTACGTGAGGTAAAGAAGACAACACAATCCTTATAAGGGGCAAAGGGAATTATTATTATTGATCACTTACCATAATCCAGGAAACATGCAAGCTGCTTTACCTACATTATGTGATTGAATCTTAAAGACAGATATTATGTTCTCTTTTATACATGAGGAAGCTTAGAAAGGTTTAGTAACTTGTCCATTATCACATAAGCAGGTAGATGGCAAAACAAGAAATCACTCTTCTGCCTCTGGCTCTCTCACATCTTACTACACAAAGACAGGCACATGCTTTCCTCCTGTAGAACCTCTCAAAGCTGAGCTTCATTTCTGCTCTGATCAGTGACCTGCTAATACTGACACTGTACATATAGGGCAGCAGAACTCAATAGCCAGACAGCTCTTTTCAGGTTTGGATTCACTGTACTTTCAGAAGTGAATGTGGAAGAAATTATACCATTTTCTAGAAAATGTAAATGAACCACTTAAACTACAGAAGCGCCTGTCCAACATAGCACGACAGCACGCCCCACTGTCCGCTGACAAGTGGGCAGACTGAGTCATAAAATGAAAAGAGAAGAAAGTTCTGAATTGATTTCACAGTCCTCCTTTTCTATACTACACCATTCTCTTCAAAAAACATCAGGAGGAAAAAAATATAGTTTTCTGGGTTATGTGCCTACATTTTCAGTTTCATGATAAGCAGTCATCAATATACAAAAATAAGGAGGTCAAACACCACTGTTGCATCCTGTCCCCTGTTTATTTTTGGAAAACAACACTGACTAAAAGCAAAGTATAATCTGAGAAAACCCATGATTATTGATGTATTTATAAGTTAACAGTTTTAATCACATGAAATAATTTTTCTTAAGGCAATGGGTCTATCTTCTGTGAAATGTTTTGTTTTCTTAGTGGACACAGAATTGTTTAATAGTGAAATTAATCACAATTTGGACAGACTTTTATAGTTAGCCCTTGACTTATCAATTCCACCAAGCAAAATTTAGTAAAGCCTAGATAAAATATACTAATCCTAAATAGGCCAGGTTTGTCACCTACCATTTCCCATAAGCTGCTTACCATAGTGGAAAAAAAAAAAGAAGAAGAAGAAGAAGAAAAAAATTTAAATTAAATGCCAAACAGTTGCAGACAGCACTTGTTTGGCTGATTAACTTGTAGACAAGCATTACAAATAAATCTGAGCATGGTCTGCAGCAAATTAAATTCCACTGCTTTTAAGAACAAAGAATTCTTTGGCAAAGAGGATTAGCAACTTTACACCCCGGAATGCCAGTTTAATTTAATTGTTCCACAATCCAAGATTTAATATGCAAATATCATTTTGATATATAATAGTGAATTTAACAAAGTGAGGAAACAAATTTAATATACAACCAGACTGCCTTTTCTGAACTGTAATTATATACAAAAAAGAAGCTGGCCGAGATCCCCCTCCCCCCACATTACTGGGATTGAATTCTATTAACATGAATCAGAACAAGTGTAATTAAAGGTTAAAATTTTTAAATGTATTCTAATTAAGAGTCTAAATAGCTCTACAATTAGAATACTGTAGTTAAAATCATACCTCAATGATCTTCTTGGCCTCTTTGTAATTTCCTGTTTGTAGGAAGGCAAAGAAGAGATCATAGAGCATCACCATTTCACCTTGTTCTTGGCTCACAAAGTCCATTGCTAGGGAGGAGAGAAAAAATATACATATTAGGAGAAAAAAAAAAAACACCAGAAAAAACAGTATCATATGAAGTTCCAGACAAATACAAGAAAAATTTGTTTTAAAAAACAAATATTAAGAATAACTTAAAGATTATAGCTATATTGACTAATTAAGTACCTAACAGAGTAGCTTCAAAGAGAACTAGTAAGGATAAGGGTAAAAAAATCTTCATAAAGGCAGATCACCAAGAAGTAGAACACAAAAATAATAGACATTTTTTCAAAATGAACAGTTACTAAAATCAAGAACATGTATAAAATTGGAAATCTACCCGATATTTTTCTTTTAGATTTCACAAGTATAAAGAAAGTTTATCTGAATGTGCTGGCCTTCTGCTGAAGTTTCTCTTAACAATACACTAAGATTAAATAAGCAAGAAGGGAAAAAAATCCAACTACATTAAGATATTAGAAAGTGACTAACCTTTCTGAATTAGATCAGTCTCGCCTTTCTCTATCAGTTTACACAAGATATCATGCATCCTTGGTAGTATTTTATACTTTTCACAGCAGTCAATGGCGACATCAAGAGCGGTAGATGGGTCATCCCTTAGAAGCAAAAAAATTAACGAATAAAATAAATCTAATTCAGCTTAGTCTCTCAGTAATACTTTAGAGAGGTGTTTAATGACCAGTTAATATGTAAACAACTGAGCTTTACTTAAGGTAGAGAACCACAAAGCTAAAATGAGGGGAAAAAAAGAAACAATTTCTCTGTATAAGTAAATGTTCAGAATACGTACATCATCAGCAGTCCACTATTTACTCTGCTTCATCTTTTATTATTTCATGTGTTAAACGGTACTTTTTTTAAAAGTCCAAATAGATAAAGGCATTCTCTGATTTTATTATAAATTCTGACTTTATGTAGTAAGTGCTGTAAGAATGTATTATTTCTAGTCAGGCACGGTGGCTCTCGGCTGTAATCCCAGCAGTTTGGGAGGCTGAGGCTGGTGGATCACCTGAGGTGAGTCAGGCTGAGCCACCGCGCCCTGCGAAATCAGTTCCTTAAACAGTGTGGTACTATATTCTTGTGGGTCCTTAAAAAGTATTCTTCCCCCCTTTAAAAGGACAACGTTGGCCGGGCGCGGTGGCTCACGCCTGTAATCCCAGCACTCTGGGAGGCCGAGTTGGGCGGATCACGAGGTCAGGAGATCGAGACCATCCTGGCTAACACGGTGAAACCCCGTTTCTACTAAAAAATACAAAAAACTAGCCGGGCGAGGTGGCGGGCGCCTGTAGTCCCAGCTACTGGGGAGGCTGAGGCGGGAGAATGGCGTGAACCCGGGAGGCGGAGCCTGCAGTGAGCCGAGATCCGGCCACTGCACTCCAGCCTGGGCGACAGAGCGAGACTCCGTCTCAAAAACCAACCAAACAAACAAAAATGGACAATGTCAGTATGAGAAATATTTAAGATCTTGCAAGACCGGGTGTGGTGGCTCACGCCTGTAATCCCAGCACTTTGGGAGGCCGAGGAGGGCGGATCACCTAAGGTCGGGAGTGTGAGACCAGACTAACCAACATGAAGAAACCCCGTCTCTACTAAAAATACAAAATTAGCTGGGCGTGATGGCGCATGCCTGTAATCCCAGCTACTCCGGGGGCTGAGGCAGGAGAATCCCTTGAACCCGGGCGGTGGAAGTTGCAGTTAGCTGAGATCGTGCCACTGCACTCCAGCGCAACAAGAGTGAAACTGTTTCCAAAAAAAAAAAAAAATCCTTTGGAAAAATTATAGAGATTATATGATCCAATTCTACTTGCCACCCACTTTTACTTTAAAAGAAATAAAGAAATTGGGGCATCTAGAGACTAGCTGATTTGATTAAGGCTAACAGGTAAACAGAGCAAGCAAGTCGTTGGACTTCCCATTGTCAGTTCAGTACATCTAATTACACATTATGCTTTATTAAAAGTACTGGTATCTGAATAATCTAATAAAGTGGTGCAATTTAGAATAAGAAATTAAAGATTTATGAAAAGAGAGTATGAAAGGTATTTTAAAAAGAGGCATGGTTAAAGACATGGCTCCAAGTACAACTAGTGACAATTAGTGAAAATCTTTGTAGAGAATATAAATTTCTCATACACAAAACAGTTCTCAAAATCAGAAAGTCCTTTTATACTTTCCGTTAAAGCCTTCACGTTTTTGTCCCTTATACAAATGTTACGCTGCCCTAAACTGAATTACTATTTTACCTAGATTTGATTTTAAGCCATACTAAAAAAGTAAAAGACAACGAAGAAATGTTAACTTTGTTGCAATAATACTGACACAGTGAAAAACGATGAAACTCTTACCTTATACCCTTACTAAGCCCTGTTTACAGTGCATCTTCTGGCACCCTACAGAGTCATTTGAATTTTTGTCATTTGGGGTGAAGACTAAATTACAGGTTAATTTCAAAACCGCAAGTAGATGTTGCAGGCTAGATTACTGTCATACAAGAGAAATGGTACAGTAGCTACCACATATGATATAAAGCTTTATATAATCAGTATTTTCCCTTACTTCAGACACAGGTTCAGTTATTGCCCTTCTATAATTCTGCTTAACGAAAAACTACTAAAACATTTTTTAAGGGCAAAGCTAACACATACAATTTTTTTTTAAGCGGCATGATTTGCTTTTCCAGATCAATTCCCAAACTAGAATAGTATTGTCTCAATTGTATTTCCCCCTACATTAGGTCAAAGCTATCAATAAATGAATGAATAATTGTTCTGTCAATCAAAGCGACATGTTAATAGTCTTTGGTCTCCAAATATATGCTTCTGAAGATTATACATGTTCAGAACAACAACAGAAAAGACAAGAATAGCAAAATGGAAATAAGTCATATACTTGTAATTTTAAGTACCAACATTACTGCTCTTAGGATGCCAACAAAATGAATTAGAAATTTATAATGAAATACCTCATACAAAGTGTACTGGAGATAAAAAGTTAATGACTAGTCAGTTCTTCAGTCCCTGTTATCTAATCCTGACTTGTGGTTGGATCATGTCATTTTAAAAGATAAAAATTTACATTCCCCACATAATTTATGTCACTATTAATCTTTCATATTAAAGCTTGAAAACTTAGGTGATGATGGAAATGAAAAATATGGTTAAAAGCGCCTAAAATTTGCATTGCTATGAAGATAGCTGTGTAGTCATAGGACTTTGGGATTTCCATCCCAACTGATAAGAGTACTTATGCTACTCAGCTGTAGCAATGTGATACATTTCTAGAAGTGGTGATGAAAAGCAGGTTATCACAACAGATGAACTCAAGGACATTTGGGTTCCCTCTTAGTTCTAATAGGTTCTATGACTCTGTGCTTATTAGGTTCATCTAAAGTGTTTTGCACAAGCAGAGAAAATCGTCAGGTGAAAATACCACTTTTATTAGGCAGGATGAAATCCGTAAGGGAAGCACAATATCAAAAGGAGAAAGGTAAAAACTGCTTTACAGCCAGAATGTGGGACAACACATTACCAATCAGTATACTTCTAGCTTCTGTGACCCAAAGTGATCTGTGAATTTCGTTGAGCGCTAGAAATGATTTAAAAATCCTATTAAGAAATAACAATAATCCTTTGAAGAAATTAATGTTGACACATTAATTTTACATTCGAAACTTTGAGCCCATGCTTGTATCAGCATATATGCATAATTCCTAAAGCTTTACAAATATTTAAAGCCTCACTCCTAATAAAAATTGTCAATGCTTTCACAAATGACACTAAAAGAAAAATCAACTCTATAGCATACTATTATCCCTTTAAAAAAAAAATCAAGACAACTCCCCCAAAATTTCAGTAGATTACATAATTTTCATGCATAAAATTACATACACTAATAAAAAGCAATCATTTTAAAAAGCAGTATTTTGTTTGGTGCAAATTAAAAATATAAGCTTTACAAAAATTCTGTGAGTCTATGAAATAAAGGTAAAATTGAGGAAAAGATTCTGTAATTCTAAATTTTAAGAACATATATATGAGATAGGCTGGGTCCAGCAAGAAATTTGGAAACTTAAAATAGCGTTAAATTCATTAGCTTGAATGGACTCACTTGGCCTGTATCAAAATTCATTCTAGAATCTAGAATTCAGTTCTTAAGGGAACATGACTACACAGAACTACTATAAACTACAATTTCTTATTATTACATGGACAAACATCCAGAAAAATAAGCTTGAAGCTCAGATGGCAAATCTGATAGTACCACTTGTTTGAGTCCTCATTCTGAAACTGAAGTATGCTATAACGTCACTGACAGAAAAACAAACACCACGTAGCATGTAGGTTTGCTGGACAGACATTTCTATGGGACATCCACCAATCATAAAACTATCCACTTTGAGATACCAAGAAACACGTACTCCTAACTCATATACATTCCTCAATACATATACCTGTAAAATCATAAATGTGTTTCATACAATCTGGAATTGTTAACACAACCACGAGTGACAACTATCTATTCATCTATCAGTAGCTTTAAACTTAGTCTCGCAACTTATACTAAGTAACTTTCTAATTCCAGAGAGTATACTTAAACAACAGAAGAAAGATGACAAATACTGATTTCTTTTTTATTGGAATAAAGTACTTTAACCTTATACATTGTTAGTGAAGTGGCAATTTATGTAAAGGGTCTTCCTTACTGAAATGCTCTCAAATCTGAAATCACTACAGAAAAGAGGGGCTGTGGGGGGAGAAAAAAAAGTTTAAAAAAGAAAAAACAAACAAAAACCAAACTGAACTCCTTAAAAACAAACTCTCTTACAAATCCTAAGCAGATGTTCAATATGGGAAGACACCAATTCAAGAGAAGCCATCATCTTCACAAAAATTATTCTGTTGAGAGAACCAGCACTTGAAAGAGCTAAATGTTTTTTTTTTTTCTGTTCATCATCTATAAATGAGGAATCTTCAAGGAGACTGGTGTTGCAATTACAACTAATCCTCCCCAAAAAATTAACTGTGTTGAAGGCTTTGTAATTTCCCTAGGTACAATTTAGCTGTCACTTACTTTAAAATTTACTCAAACATGCGTTCCGAACAGCACTAACTTCACATGTCAAGTGCTTTCCAGCCAATTGAGTCTAAACTGGAAGTCGGTGTTAAACAACTGAATGATTAGACAAGATAGCTCATTTCCCTGCTCTTTTGTTCAGAATAAAATGCCACATTTACATTATCAGGCTCAACAGGATTTTCTGACAGAGGGAGAAAAAACCCTACTGCACACTGTCCGTACTAAGCACATGAAGCCTGTCATTTACCAATCATCCTTCAAAAAGCAATAGCCATGAATGTAACTTAATTACGACCCAATGATCCTTGACGAAAAATCATCTTATCACTGTCCTGTTCCCCTAGGGCAAACGAACCACTTTTTGTCCTTTGGCACTGATGATGCTAAATTCTTAATTGCAATAATGGAGTAAAAGAGCCAAACCTCCTTAATTTCCTCTCAGCACATAAGGAGTTCTACTCTAGAAGGCAAGCATTCCTATAAATAATAAAAGTATCCAGTACAAATGAACATGCTAAAATTGAAGGGGAGCGTGTATAACAGAATCATCAACATTTAAAAAAGCCTATTTCCCATTTATGTATCATATTAAAGTGTTGCCAGTGAGTTCCAAAAACATTGTTACAAGTTCATCTTAGAGAAATTGTGACCTTTATGAAGAACTCAAGATTAATTTAGCAAGAGTTCTGGGAGGACAGCATAAATGAAGTTCATTATACACTTAAATGAAATGCATATGTACATATACAGATTATAACACAAACCAGCACAAAAAAATCCTTAATGGAAAGCAGAAATTAAAGCTGCTTTGATCATTTGCACTAACATAATCCAGTTAAACAGCTTCAGTTATTTTTTAATGCATGCAATGAAACCAAAATGGATCAGGTATAAAACAAGTGAATCTGAAACTGCATCATACAAATTTTTATGCTTTAAAATCTGATGGCCCAGACTTGATTAATTTCATTTCCTTGACCATAACATGAAGACTAATAAAAAACTCTTTTAACCTATTTTAAAGCATTTTCTTACTTCCTTAATGTGACGGATTGCTGTCATCTCCATGAATCAGGCATGATTTCAATAAAAGAAATACATTTTAAGACAAAATACTTACAAAAGAAAATGTTTGAAGTAATATTCATTTGGACTACATGTAAAATACGTGGCTTAGAGACTGTAATGTAATGTAATGTAAATGAAGCACAAAAATTTTGTTCAACTGCAAATTTTTTTTCCATTCAATGCAAGTATTTTCATTTTGATAATACAAAAACAGGTTAGCTTACCAACTTCTTTATAATTTTCCAAATCTGTTATTGTTTTGGAATTCCCTTGGCAAATGAATAAAAACAAAATGTATTTTTTCCATACCCATAAAGCATTTTTAGATTGTCTAAGTAACACAAACTAACACAGTATTAATTTCTCCTGTGTATTGTCCAATGCTGGAAAAGTCAGTTCAGAATTAAGATCCACTGAATCTTAAAGAGATTATCTTTCTAAGGAACTCAGTCTCATGGATTTGCTCCAGAATTACAACACGAAAGTAATATTCTCTTTAGAGTCTTTTGCAGTGACACGCCAAAAAGATGCTTGCCTTTGAATGAAAGGGTGAAGATTTATGATGATGTTTAAAAATGTTTTTTATAATTTTATCACAAGTTTGAAAAAAAAAGCTCATTTGCCAGATGAGCTCATATCTGCTGAGGTCAATTACATGATATTAGTGAAGATTATGCACATTTTTTTTTTTTTTTTTTTGAGACAGAGTCTCGCTCTGTCCCCCTGGCTGGAGTGCAGTGGCTCAATCTCGGCTCACTGCAAGCTCCGCCTCCCGGGTTCCTGCCATTCTCCTGCCTCAGCCTCCCAAGTAGCTGGGACTACAGGCGCCTGCCACGGCGCCCGGCTAATTTTTTGTATTTTTAGTAGAGACGGGGTTTCACCGTGGTCTCGATCTCCTGACCATGTGATCCGCCCGCCCCGGCCTCCCAAAGTGCTGGGATTACAGGCGTGAGCCACCGCGCCGGCCTGATTATGCACATTTAATCAAATCAAATACACGTGGACTTTTTAGCAGGCTAGTGTGGTTAATCCTAGCACTTGTCATGATTCTGAATTAATTAGCTATCTTCCATCAGTTGGAGAAAACACAATTGAGAAAAAGTTTCAAAGTCAGGGTTTTACTCTAGCATTTCCCCTGACTATGAATGTTTCTGCTGTTTTCTGCAATTTTATAAATATAAAATTTCCTTTATCTTTTTTTATTATTGTCCTGACTCTGCAAGAGTCAATAGCCCTTTTTATTAAGATAGATGAAACTGAAAGACCTCATCATGGAGACTGCATTGGCAAAGTAGTTTAAAAAAAAAAAAAAACTAGGCGAATAAAAATAGAATAATTAAAATAAAACAAAAATAGAAGATATACGTATCTGAAAGTAGTAAAACACCAAAAACGGAAAGACACTAATTTAGATTTCTTTAGCTCAATTAGCAGGGAGAGCCAAATTTGACTGAGACACAGAAATATCTGACTTCAGGATATAATCAGAAGCACAGAGGATGCTCTAGGTTAACATCTGAATTCCACACCGTTTCCATTTTCCCATGGTAAGCTCTCCTTGGTTCATGAGCCCCATCTGCAGACCTCTTTTGGAAAGCTTTCACGTCTCCTCTGTCTTCAAAGTATTTTTATTTGTAAGATACTTTTCTACGATGGCCTCATTTTCATTGTTAATTATTTTATTTTTGCCCGGTAGTGTAGGAGGGTCTAATTCTTCTGGGCACTGGGCCCATTTCTTTCAAATCCTTCTGTAGAGTTGCACATGCAATTTGCAGAAATGAGTCTTTTAAGCAATCGAAAAAAAATTCTAATAGGAAGCATATTAATTATAGGATTTCTATATAAAGTTGGCTGTGAATATGATAACTCAGTAACACAGTCATTATTTGAATCACTATTTCTTTAACAGGATGTAATGCTGAGACTGTGGAGGTTAAGATTTGGCCAATCATCTAACATGATAATTGTTTTTGACTGGATGGCAAAGGAATGATTTCATGTGTGCATGCATGTATACACACATTTCTTAACAGAAACTTAGTTAAAGGAGATGGTTTTTATTATACATTTAAATTCAACACTAAATCATTTATTATATTCAATTAATTATACTCTCTAATAAAGAAAGAAAAACTACCAGAAATTTGGGGAAAACATGAGAACTGTTAAAATACATATTTGATTTTTCTCCTGGCATCGACAGGACAACGTCCACACTACGTAGACAGTGAGATATTTCTGTGTTTCAGTCAAATTTGGCTCTCCCCTGTTAACTGAACTCAAGAAATCTAAATTAGTATATTTTCGTTTTCGGAGTTTTACTACTTTCAGATACATATATCTTCTATTTTATTTTAATTATTATCTTCTATTTTTGTTTGCCTAGGGTTTTCTAATACTACTTTGCCAGTGCAGTCTCCATGTAATGCAGATTACAAACTATATTAAGCTATGAAAAAGCTGACAAAGATGATCTAGGAAATTTAAAAAAGCAAAACAGAAAACAAAAACAAATACAAAAGAAAAAGGTAAGTTATGCTTAGTCATCTTATTAAAATGTTTTATTCATTACAAAATAGACTGATTGTATGATTTACATTGCAAATAATGCCTTAAATTGAGCACCAACAAGAGCATTTCAAATGGAAAAATTACCAAACTCAGTAAACCTTGCCCTATCAGCAAAATTCATCTCCTACAACATTTATCAAAGCCAGAAATAACTGCAATGGTATATGTACTTAAAATACCCTGTGAAGAAAAGGAGCACTGAAGATGCTTCTACACTTATTACCTGAATAACTAACAGTCAAGACACATACTCAAAAGCCTCAGAAGATCCTTTTTTCTTATATTTATTAATAACACTTATCAGGCTGAAAACTGGGAAAAACTAGATTCAATTTCAAGTAATCATATGCTCCTACAAAAAAGCACCAGGGACCATCCCATTGATACATAAAGCCACAGGACCACAGTGATTTTAAATGTCACCGAGTTCATATTAGTCCTCTTACTCTGTGGCAAATGACCTCCAAGGAATCCCCATCATGAGAGTATTTACAAAGTATAATCCGAAAATTATTAGACTCATTCTTTTAATGCCAACATTTAAAATTCAAAATTAAATTAACTTACTTTTCCAGGTATACAGTGATCAATGGGAAACTTATGTTGGTGGATGGTTTTGCTAACCCTAGAGTCACGATGGCTTCATGCAACTGTTTTACTGTTTCAATTTCACCTCTTAAAGCTGCGCCATTTAGGATGTGGAAAAAGGACAAGACTGTTGAATCTTTGATAGGAACATCCTTCTTTTTCATCTCCTTCAGAATGTTAATAGCATCTACAATGAAGTAACACAAAAGACCCTTAGGTAATTTCATGTAGGGAAAACAAACTGCTATTAAAACAGCATTTCAAGCCCAGCAGGAATGTAAATTCTAGTGTATAATGCCGATTTCAAGTTAATTACTACTTGCATTTCTAAACGAGACTACAATTATAAATCCACAATAGCATGGTTTTATCATTTCCCTGCAACTTTGACTACAAATTATAGATAGGGACTGTGTCCCCACTCTGTACCACATAACCCTGTACGGTCTGCCCTATAGCTGTAAGATCCTCCTAAATGGATGCTTTTATCGTTCAGAGCTAACATCTGCTAAATCACACCATTGTTTCTTCAGCAGATGGCTTGTCAGGAGGCCAGATAATAAAGATGTGTTTACACTGTATATACAGCCAGACTAATGGTCTGATACCGATAGGGCCTGTTTGCTATGTCGATACTAATTAGCCAAGCAGAGCCAATGAAAGCTTTCCAAAAGACTGCATGTTAATACATTAGATTCATTAAGCTTCATTAGGAAGGCAGAAACAAACATTTTAGGATATGGAATAAGTGCATTTTTATAATGTTGTTCTTAATTATTACACAGACAAAATGTTTTGACCACTTTACAAAAAGTGATTAAAAAAAAAATAGGCTAATCCTTATAGAGTTAGAAAGGTGTCCTAGGAAAAAATTCAATGTTCTAATAAACGATTTTCTCCATACGTTTTTCCCTATAATAAAATTAAAACAACCTTTTCTGAAAATCTAAGGAAAAGAGGAAGGCTAAAAAGGAAGTTTCAAAATAAAGTCAAATCAGAAAGTGAAGAAACAAGCAAACAGTATGAATGTATTATCAAGTGTAATTAATTTTATTAGGCTTAACATTATCTCAACAATGAGAAAATCTGAGTATGCAAATCAGCTGTGTAATCAGCTAAGCTTTTTCCATGAACCATTAATAAAAAAACCTTAATTAAAATAAAAACTTTAAAGTATATATTTTGTTAATGTTATTAAAAAGTAAGGCAAAGGCTACTGCAAAATTCAGAAGCATATATTAGGTTACATTTATAGGTTTTATGTTCAGACTTCAGACCTTCTTAAGCAAAAACAAAGCCATTAGTGCAGGCATATAAGCAAATTGTGCCATAAGTCATGATCTTCAAACTCAATCCAAACAGCAATGCTAATAAAAACTAGCTGCAGAAATGCAAAAAGCACTGAGCTGTGCAAATGTAAATGACAAGCTTGCCAATCCATTAAAACTAATGGCCTACACTGTCCATGCAGCTCTGGTTGGATTCACATGCAAATTTGTATGCAAAGTGTTCAAGCACTTTGCAGGACATGATATCCATTAATATCAATTCACGTGTTATTCCAGTGGCAAGATACTCGCATCACATATTTCCTTTATGTGCTGAGGCTTACCTTGGAGCCTGCCATGCTTTGCCAATACTCTTACAAGGCCTACATACTTGCTGGTGTCAAGGACAGCAGATGAATCTAAGCGGTCGCTAAAAATTAAAGCCACATTTATGTTATTTTAAAAGTCAACTAACTGCTAAAAGAACAGCAACATCCATTTAATCACTTTACAAAAGCGCATCAGAAGACCTGAACTAATGTCGGCCTCTACGCTTCAGTTAGGATTTCTTTTTGAAGTCATATACAAGTTCACACGAAATTATATTCAAAGTGACTAGTGAAGTAAAAGTCCAACACTATATATATATTGCATCACTCCATCTGCAAAGGATGCTTATGCTTTAAGTGATTCTAACCTTCATCACGAATACTGAAATACCCAAAAAGACATTTTTACTTGAAAAATCTAACAGGATTGGAAACCGAAGATACCTGAGAAATGGAGAGAATTTTATTTACACTACAATATAGAAAGGGAAGTGTTATCAAGCCTCATAAAACAGTCACCATCACCACTGTTGTGATATGGAGATATATAATCAATGGAAAAAAACCGTTGGTTCTAAGGACTAGAATGTCTTATCATACTTAAACAAAGACACCTTGCGGAACATAAGCTACAATTAATTAAAGAGCCTTATAATATGAAATTTCAAAAACACTGACGACAAAAGAATTTTTAAAAATGACAGTATATAATAGAGTAATATTCCATCTAGATAATCTATCAAGGTCTGTAGAGCAGAATAAATGTTGACAACTTGTTTTGGTGCCAGGATACTCACAATTCTTCTTTCAAGTTCAAGGCATCTTCTGCATTATCATGTCGACAGCATAAATTTATTAAAGCTGCATAACCACTGATAACCATGTCTGATTCATATTTTGCTTTCAATTCAAGGGCTTTTTGCATATTCTAAAATACAGCATAGAAGTGAAAAAGAAGAAATCAGTGTGAAGGTAAAAATGTCACATTTTTAGCTTTAATGTTCAGAGTTTAGAAAAAGTTAATAGTACTTTAAAAATAAATGGTTTCATGTTAACAACCTGACTCTGCCCCTTGGTATTTTTATTCACCTCTAAAAAGTGGGCAAGTCTTATACATGTAAGGGTTAAAAGATGTGTTATCTGTAATATAAAATGGCCACTGTTTATGCCAAATGTGATGTTTTAGGCTTTGTGTATGGTATTATTTTAAAAAGACTTCCAGATTAAGTAATTCCTAAATCAAACCCTAATCGCAGTCTAATTTCAGGATGCAGAATTATGTATCATTGAGAAGTTTCTCAGTTTAGTTTAGTATCCAAGTAATGTGAAGAAATATTTTACAATTTAACAGTAGCAGGTTATAATCATAAAGTTAGCCATGATATTTTTTCCTAAAACTACAAGCTTATGGCTCAATTATATTGAACTAGAAACTGACAAACAGTCTAGTGATATCCCACAAATTGCAGACATACACTAAAATGAACACCAAGTACAGCTGGACGCCCGCTGAAAAAAGGCAAGGGACCCTTTATCTCAGAAAGAGCTTTTTTCCAGCAGGAAAATGGAATTTCAATCCCTGCATTAACAACCTAGTAATATTTGACTTGCAAATGACTACTGCATGTATCAGTTGCTTGACAATCTAGATATAAGAGACCGGAGCCATGGCTTGAAAGGACATTTGGCATGTATGATAAACCTATCACGGCTGTTACTATCACTCACTTTGCAGATTATCGTAAACAAACTACAGCAACTGAAAACATGCCATTCAAGGTGTAGCTGAAATTAGTTAACCTTTCATTTAATTGCATTCTTTACAAGCCTGACATATAATGATCAATCGTAAAAATCATAAATATTATATTTGGTTTTTCTTATTGTTATCTATCAATAATTTTTTGCCTTAACAACATTTAAGTATTAAAACAAATGTTACCTCTTGGGAACAAAGCATTAATATGAGGTGCTTTAGGACATCTCTTATAGGTTTATCTTCAGCTTTTAATGTTTCAAGTCTAGACTCCAATTCAGATGACCTAAGTTGCATGGTCTACAGAAAAGAAAAAAGAAAAGAAAAATTTCCTGAAAAAGGAAATCTATCCCTTTTGTCACTCTTCCCTTTAAACTGACTTTCCTTTCTACTTTCCTAAATGTCATAAATGCTATCAGGGATATGAATTGGGAATCCATGGATGGACTCCAGAGGTTTACAAATCTCCTGAGATTATATGCAAATTTCTTAAATATGTTGATTTTTCTGAGATGGGAAACAGGTTTTACCAACTTCTCAGAGGTATACAAGATGATAAAAATGTTAGCAATCACTGGTTTTAAAAGTACACAATCCGGAATACTCATTAAATATGGTTACTATAGCATGTAGTACCTAGTCAAAATCCTACTTACTTTTTGAGAGTCTAAATTCTCACTGTCAACCAACATATAAGCATCCTAAAATTGAAATTCAAATTAGCACAGAATTAGAAAACACACGTAAAAACACATCAGCAAACATCAAAACTAAATTTTGTAAGTCTTACCTCATATTACTATTTTTCATCTTTCCAAAATTTTAGACATTCTTTTCATACTTTATTAATGTAATTAATGTTTTAAATATATTTATGAATATATAAATAGTATTTATGAACAATCAATGAAAAGCTTTGTTTTAATGGCTGTCATTGAAATAAATTTTTTTTCTGGCCCAAAGCATCATATTTAAATAAAATTTTAACATGCTATTATATATAAATTAAGCATTTTATCCAGTTGATTGCTATTTCACACACCTTAATCAATTCAGGAACATGGTAGCTATCCAGTAGATTACGAATGCCTCTGCAGATATTTTCAGGAATTTTTACATTCTGTGAGAAGGGAAGGGAGGGGGGGAAAAACCTGAGTTTTAGACAACTAAACTGAAATTTGTCTAACAGAAATTATCTCAGACATAATTTAAGTCTCCAACTCTTGCATGTCATTGAGAAGTGGTCTGGTTGTACTTAAAAGCAGCAATTTCAAATCTAATAGATACATGTCAGGCAGGACAGGCATTATATAGCAAAAAATGAAATGGTACCATCTCCTTCAGCTGATGGAAGTATTGTCTCAAACGCTCCTCCTTGGCCTGTACCTCTGAGTCACTCATGCTGTCAATCAAGTTATAAAGAAAATAGCCAACAGCTTCTGTGGAAAAAAAACAAGAGAAAGCATTCCACTAAAATTACCGAGACTGTCATGTTATCAAGATTAATTTATAAGAAATCATTTTGGTGTGAGATGTCACCCTGATGAGAGGCTCTGAAATGGCAACAATGATCACTGAGGCATAGAGATTATGTGGTTTGGGAGCACATATCTAACTGGTGAGTGAAAGGAATATTAATTATTTTCAAACCGAGTGACAGCTTTTCAGTACTGAATCTTACTTCAATCTATTTTTTTTCCACCACTCTGTGACAGAAGTGGTTCTGCCCAAGGCCTTACCCCTTTCCTGTCCAAATCACAAGTAATAAGAATAAATAAATGTCTTGTACACATTTCTATACTATTTTGTTTGTGGACAATATTTAGGGAAGCACATAAAATTAGAAAGGATTATTAAATGTTGAGTATAGAAAGTTAAAGAATTTTAACAAGCAGATACAGTAATCCTGTGGAGAGCTGCCTATTAGCCAATGAAAAACCAAGATTAACAAAGATGTTTTGTAACAACAGTAATTTTCCTTTGCATTCAAGCATAAAATGTATAGGGCCATGTTATAATAATACCTAGGATAGAAATGTAAACTTTCAAGAAGGGTACCATCTTACAGAAAACTATATATTCTAAACTTCATTATGTGAAAAATGAAAATCATTAAATGTCAAAACAATGTATTTGGGACAATAAATTGTATTTACGTGGAAATCCACAAGAACCTTCCCTATATTTTATGTTTAAAATTAACTACACCTGCAAAATATTAAAAGCACATAAATGCTAAGAATCACTGATTTTTAAGCCTATTTCCATAGGTGTTAGAAGAAACATTTCCCCAATATCTGAAAAGAAAAAGCCTCCCAACTCCATCTTTAGAAAAAATAATTGTAACAAAACCAAACACTTCAGATCTTAAAATGTTGTAATCAATATAAAGACTTATAACCAAATGTTTTCAAATTTCACTTCTAAAAATAAAGTGTTTACTGCTGTAATCCTCCTAACCCATCATTACACAGAAGAATGGATTTGTGGATAAGTTACAATCATCGAAATTGAAACGCTACCCGTTGGTCCTGGAGGCTCCTGGCAATAACGTCCATCCTTGTACAACAATTCTGTTATCTGGTAAGACAGAAAAATCGTGCATTGCAGCAAGAGAAGCAAACAAAAACAAATATAATCTGAAATTGAATTCTTGAAATAATAAAACCTCTCCCCAGTAAGGTATTATTCTATATCATAGTAATTCAAAACCACCCCCACCCGCCAAGGAGATTGTTTTGTTTTAAATAATAGGTTTGTCTTTTAAAAACAAAAACAAATCCATGTTGAAGGAAAACTGCAATGTTTTGTGAAATGCCACAAAGAAAGACTCTAAACTGATTTATAAATTGATATGTAAACATCACTTTGCATGAATTGTTATAAACAGAAAAGAGCTTATAGGAATTATTGACCAATATTATTCCTCATTATATTGTTTTTGGTCTTATTGACACTGCACTGGTTTCCTCATTTTGTATTACGTTTTACTGAAATACAAAGCAAAATATCCTGAACTGCTAAATGACTTACATTTTTTAGATATTTAATAACAATTTCCATTCCTCTTAATGAGACTAAAACAAAAGGGGTCTAAAGATTAAAGTGTCTATTCTCATGGATTCTTTTTTTTTTAAATTTCCAACTTTTATGTTAAGTTCAGGGGTACATGTGCAGGATGTGCAGGTTTGTTACATAGGTAAATGCGTGCCACGGTGGTTTGCTGCACAGATCATCCCATCACCCAGGTATTATGCCCAGCATTCATTAGCTGTTCTTCCTGATCCTCTCCCTCCTCCCATTGGATTCTTATCAGTTGAATTCACAAACACTAAAAGACACATATAACAATTATTTTTCAACATTAACTCTGTCAGCAAAATTTTAAAAGAAAACCAAATATAGGTTTCATGATAAAAATTATTACATAACCTATGGTATTGGCTTGTAACGTTAAAAACACCTTATGATTTCAATATGAGGGGGACTTACCTTGCTCCAAAGATTTATATTCATAGACCTGCAGAGGGCAGCAAAGGATTGAAAATAAGCCCAGGTTTAAAAAACATTAAGTTAAAATGCATACTTGTAATATGTACAGATCAAAGTATTAAAATTAATAAGTAAATAAATGTTTGCTGTATCAGGATGAATTTTCAGGATAAGGTAATATAGAAAGACTGACACTCACCCATTTCAAATATTCAAAATAGGCCAGGCCTGGTGGCTCAGACCTGCAATCCCAGCACTTTGGGAGGCCAAGGCAGGCAGATCATCTGAGGTCAGGAGTTTGAGACCAGCCTGGCCAACACGGTGAAACCCCGTCTCTACTAAAAATACAATAATTAGCCGGGCGTGTTGGTGGATGCCTGTAATCTAGGCTACTCGGGAGGCTGAGGCAGGAGAAATGCCTGAACCTGGGAGGCGGAGGTTGCAGTGAGCCGAGATCCCGCCACTGCATTCCAGCCTGGGCGACAGAGTGAGTCTCAAAGTGACTGCCCACAGATTGCTTGTTACTTGTCATGAAAAAAATAGTAACTACATAATGGAGAAATCCCAACACCTGGACCGGGTGGTCAAAACTAATGTGCCTTTAAATATAATTCCGTGAGAAGACAGAGTAACACTCATGTGGTCTTCCAGCAGGGGATAACTTGAAGCTATAAAGAATAAAATACAGTAAAATAAGATAAAAATTAGCTATCTTTTTCGGTTAGGCTACAAAGAGCTTTAATTCCAAGGAATTTTAACCTGCCAGTAGCCTACCACATTTGAAAAACAGGACAAGGAAAGTAGGGAAAAATCAGAGTTTGCAAGAAAGTGAGGCTAATATGCCAAAGTGCATAATATAAAGTGGTAAAACTTGGAATGGTTCCTTTGCTGTATCCTGGACCCATTTGGGCATTTGATGAATTCTGCTTCTCAACTAGGATTAATTTTGTCAGGTATATTATGGTGGTTATATTGTTCTATTTAAAATAAGTTCTGAGATATATACTAAAGTATTTATGGGTAGATGACAAAGATCCATAGTTAGTTTTAATAGTCCAGGAAAGAAAGAGAGAGAAGGGGAATGGTAAAACAGGACTGCCAAAATCTTGGCTGTTAAAGCTGGGGGATGGGTACATGGGAGCTGTACTTTAAAAAAATAAACACATATCATGTCCAGTCTAAATTTTGTACTTCTATTTTAACTCTCAGCATAATAAGCTGGGCTTCCTCTCTTTTTTTTTCTTTTTTTTTTAGTTACTTTAACCATATATTTTTATCAAAGTATCAACTTACTGTCAAATAAAAAATAGTTAAGGCTGGGCGTGGTGACTCACACCTGTAATCCCAGCACTCTGAGAGGCTGAGGCGGGTGGATCACCTGAGGTCGAGAGTTCAAGACCAGCCTGACCAACATGGAGAAACCCCATCTCTACTAAAAATACAAAATTAACCAGGCGTGGTTGTGCATGCCAGTAATCCCAGCTACTCAGGAGGCTGAGGCAGGAGAATTGCTTGAACCCGGGAGGCGGAAATTGCTGTGAGCAGAGATCGCGCCATTGCACTCCAGCCTGGGCAACAAGAGTGAAACTCCATCTCAAAAAAAAAAAAATAGTTAGAATATTAAGTTCCCTCAAACTTGGCATGAAGTATCTAAGGAAGGCATGGAGATAAACTTTCAAAATTTCACATATACCTACAACAAATGAAAATGTCTAAAAGTACTGCCTTGAATGTGAAGCTTCATGGTGAATGGCACAGGTTTGAAACCAAAACAAAAATATACAGAATCCTTCAAAACTAGGTTATTGTAAGGAATAGTTACTAGTTACCAGTTACCAATCCAATGCAATCTGACTTCCGGCCCCAAATTCCACTGAAACTACTCATGCTAAAATTACCAATGATTTTAATTCAAAATTCAACTAACATCTTTTTGGTCCTCTTTGACTAAGTTTTGGAATTTGTGGTGTTGTTAGCCATTATCTGCTAGATGCTACTCAATCTCTTTCAGGAACTGTCCTTCCCTACGTGCCCCTTACAAGTGACCCAGACTTTGTACTAGGTCCTAAGTGCATTATATTTTTTATCTTAAAGACAATCCTGCATATAGGTATTTAAGTTCTTTGTTTCCCAGAAGAGGAAACAAATTTGGTAAGGCGATGTAAAATACCTTCAACTGGAAATTCCACAGTTCCCTCAAAGGATCCCATAAAGTGTGAATGATCTCCTAATGTTTCCTGTCTCCCTATACAGCTTTACCTGTATTATCCCCTTTGAATATATGTCAATCTTAACTTTATCATGTAAACCTTTCAATGGCTCGAAGCCATATGACTCAAGGTCCAAATATCCTAATTTAGAATGAGACTACTCACAAAGACCCCTGGGCTACCATTTTGGCTTTATTTCTTCTAATTATTTCATAGTTTCTTAAGCTACTACCAATCTACTTACACTTCCCCAGAACCACTGCTCTTTCAGCCTCAATGTCTCTGCCTGAAAAACCCTTCCCTTCCCCTCTATAAATTCAACATGCATCTCAGCAATTTCTCTCCAGCTCCTGCCCTGATTCATCCCTTCCCCAACCCTGGCAGAAGACAGAGTACCTTCTATAAACATTCACAGTTATGAAGACTAGTTTACAGTTGCTTTCTTATTTTCATACTGTGAACAACGCTGGGGTAGGAAGTTTCCCATTCATATTTGAACGGTCCATTATGTAGCATTCGTAGCCCTTGGCACACACTAATAAGAACTAATATTTTCTGGGCACTCACAAATGCATTAAACAGTTTTCTAAGCACTTTGACTTATTTAATGGTCATAACATCTTCACTTTAAGCACAATTATCAGAACCATTATAAAGATGAAGAAACTGAGGAGCAAAGTAGTTTTAAAACTTATGCAGGCGTTTTCTGAGTAAGCTGTGGATGCGAGACTAACAATTTCCATCTAAATTTGCTCCTTTCCAATACCCCACTGCAATAAAAAGATTTTTTTCAATGACACATAAAATAACTGGGAAGTACATGTAACTAGAAATAAATATTACAGACAGAGAAGTGGTAACCAATTTAGTAGTAAAGAGAATGTCAAATCTCAAGACATCAGTGAAGAAATCTAGAACCAAACTTATACAATAGAATCTCCATTACCAAGGTAGAAGAAAGGAAACTACACTCAGAAGGTCCCTTAGATCCTCTCCCTCAGCTGGGAGGCTACAACCCTCCCTCCAACAGCAGCAGCAGACATCTGGAGGATTCTTCTCTGGAGGGTAAAACAGTCAATCCCTGGAGAACTGAGAATTAAGTAACTATACATTCTACACCATAAACACAGGAGTCTCTAGTACTCTCCCTCATGCGGTGTCCTGGAAGACGTTTCATTGGGGAATGCCCCATCCTATGAGGAAAGACACAAAGATACAATGACAATCTCAACAGCCACTCAGCTATCCCGAGAACAAGGCACCAAGTCAACACACCCTACTAACAAACTCAGAGCTTCGGATGGCTTTTTGCATTTCCTACTTTTAAGGATTCCCAGATATTTAGGGGCGAAAAAAGGAAAACAGTTTACACACACACAAACTTGAAGACAGTAGACAATAAGCACGAAGAAGGAAGCCTTGCAAAACACTATTACTGGCCGGGCACGGTGGCTCACGCCTGTAATCCCAGCACTTTGGGAGGCCGAGGCGGGCGGATCATGAGGTCAGGAGATCGAGACCATCCTGACTAACACGTGAAACCCCGTCTCTACTAAAAATACAAAAAATTAGCCGGGTGTGGTGGCGGGCGCCTGTAGTCCCCGCCATTCAGAAGGCTGAGGCAGGAGAATGGTGTGAACTCGGGAGGCGGAGCTTACAGTGAGCCGAGATCGCACCACTGCACTCCGGCCTGGGCAACAGAGCAACAGAGCGAGACTCTGTCTCAAAAAAAAACAAACAAACTATATTTCCTACGAGAGGCCAGGTGCGGGGTGGCTCACACCTATAATCCAAGCACTTTGCAAGGCTGAGACTCACAAGCTTGAGCTCACAAGTTCAAGACCAGCCTGGTTAACATGGAGCAACTCCATCTCTGCAAAAGATACAAAAATTAGCCAGGCGTGGTGGCACACACCTGTAGTCAAAGCTACTTGGGAGGCTGAGGCAGGAGAATTGCTTGAACTTGGGAGGCAGAGGTTGCAGTGAGCCAAGATCGCACCACTGCACTCTAGCCTGGGTGATAGAGCCAGACCTTGTCTCAAAAAAAAAAAAAAAAAAAAAAAAAGGCCTATGAGAGATAAAGACTTGATATCTATGAGACAGTAATATGTTATTTTACAAAAGAAACACTTTGAGAATGCAAAAGAGATTTTGGAAATAAAAAAGGGATAGCAGAAACAAAAAATTCAACAGAAGAGGCAGAAGATAGGGTTGAAGAAATATCACAGAAAGTGGAACCTAAGAACCAAGAAAAGCAAAGTAGGAGAAAAAAAGAAAGCACCAGTCTAAGAGTTTCAGAAAGAGAGAAAAAATTATTTCTAAAACTAAAATTTTCCAGAGCTGAGGGATATAAATGGCCAAATTAAAAGGAGCCACTGAGCATGCAGCACAATTGACAAAATATGAAAAAAAAACCAAAACAAATAAACTCATACATAAGGTTGCTCTATAGTGAAACGTCATAATATTAGTGGTCAAGAGATTCTTCTCAAGTTCCAGAAGATTCTAGAAATTTCCAAAAATCATTCTAGAAATTCCAGAATACTAATGATAAAATGAAGATATACAAATTTCCAGAGATAAATAAGTTGCTTAATTGTCAAATGTCAAAACAATAGAGATAAAGGAAAGATTCTACAAACTTTCAGAGGGTGTTCTATAAAAAGAAGTTACATATAAAGGGTAAGGAATCAGAATGGCTTAAATCTTTCAACAGTAACACTGTAAAGAAAACATGGAGCAATACCTTCAAAATTATAAACAAAAATTATTTCCAACTCAGAATTCTATACGTAGGCAAACTATCAATCCTATCTGA